GTGAGCTGAGAAGATGGTTTGGGGGCTAGACTCGACTTTGAGTGCCAGCCTCAGTCAAGGGTGACTGGAGGAAGGGGAAGAACGAGCCCTCAGCAGTGGTTGCAGGGAGTGACGGCTGATGGTGCCTGGCGCAAGGTGCAGAGCTCAGTAGGTGACATCTCTTGCTGTCAGGTATTGCCTGCATTTTCTTTCCCTTAGCACTGATGTTCAGAGAGGCACATGGAGCTAGGTACAGGTCTAAAGGAATGTAATGGTACTCTTCTGTTTTACAGAGTTCCACAGTCAGAGATCTTGAGATTAATAATGGCAGGAAAATCATCGCTTTTCAAAGTCATTCTCCTTGGAGATGGTGGTGTTGGGAAGAGTTCTCTAATGAACAGATATGTGACTAATAAGTTTGATGCCCAGCTCTTCCATACAATAGGTGTGGAGTTTTTAAATAAAGATTTGGAGGTGGATGGACACTTTGTCACCATGCAGATCTGGGACACGGCTGGTCAAGAGCGCTTCAGAAGCCTGAGGACGCCGTTCTACAGAGGTTCTGACTGTTGCCTGCTTACCTTTAGTGTCGATGATTCTCAGAGCTTCCAGAACTTGAGTAACTGGAAGAAAGAATTCATATATTATGCAGATGTGAAAGAGCCCGAAAGCTTTCCTTTTGTGATTCTGGGCAACAAGGTTGACATCAGCGAGCGGCAGGTGTCTGCAGAAGAAGCTCAAGCCTGGTGCCGGGACAACGGCGACTATCCCTACTTTGAAACGAGCGCGAAAGATGCCACTAATGTCGCAGCAGCCTTTGAGGAAGCAGTTCGAAGAGTGCTCGCTACCGAGGATAGGTCAGATCCCTTGATTCAAACAGACACTGTCAGTCTGCACCGAAAGCCCAAGCCCAGCTCGTCTTGCTGTGGAAGTTAGAGAGGTAGCCAGTGCAACCTAACCAGCTCACCCACATGCGCAGATCAGCACTGGGCAGAGAAGAGGATAAGCGTGTGCAACGATGCATCACATACTCAAAAATTCAACTAACCGTATTGCTGCCTCATCAGTGGGTGGGAGAGGCGACACATCCCCTCACGGGAGAATCCATTTACTCAGTAATGGCACCTTACATGTACCCATTGTAACGGTTGTCTAATAATGTTTAATTTAAATATGTATGTTACAGAGCTAATAAATGACCAAGACTTTGTAATTAAAACACTTGAGTATTCTAGAAGTTACTGTCTTTTCCCTGGGAATATGGAGAACTACTTTTTCTATGTGTATATTTTTATGTAATTAGCATTCTGTACCTGGTTCAGGGAAAGCATGTCCTAAAGCAATAATGTTAGATATTAAAGATTAAAGTTGAATGCATTTGCACTGTGGTGATTTGATTACTACTTCTTTCTCTTTATGTTCATTTTTTCACTCTGCATATCAGAATTGATCTCACTAGTAATCACTTGTCATTTGTGTGCCACGCGTGAGCCACACCCCCTTCAACACAGAAGCCAGCTTTTATCACATTTGGAGGAAATCCTACTTCTGGCTGGTACTTTGAGAGTAAGCGAAGACCTCTTTATCTGGGCGTGTATTTATTCAGTGTCACTGAACTGTGTGGTGGTTTGGTTGCAAGGAGATCTTTTGTCAATTCTGCCTCAAAGACCAGACTTATTGATAAAGCAAATTACAGTCTTTTGTGGGTGTTGTGCCCTTCATGCTGATCCTGCGCTGCAGAGGCATACCGATGCCTGGACTGCATGTGAGTGAGGACAGCACCCTGGGCTGTAGAGCAGTGGGTGACCAAGGGACATGCTTTTGGCGGCGGGGCTGGGGGTTGGTGGTCCTGTGGCAGGGGAATATGTTTTGGAACAGGTTGATTGAGATACTTCTCTCCCTGGCCTCATAGCTTGGGAGCCACTGACAAAGAATATCATTGCAGTAAGCTAAGATTTTGAAAGTCTTTAACTTCCTAACACAACAGACAGCTTGGCCGTAAGCAAAACATTTTCACATTTTAAATTTGGGGAGATTAAATCTCTTCATGTTCTCAGGTTGGAGAAGACAGAGCTCTAGTTTTTATTATTTATAATCAATTTCGCTTCTCCAAACTAATCCTCCACTCAAAAAATAGGCATCTACTGTTAACAAATTAGTGTATATTATATATTGCCTTTATTTTTTTCTCTAGGGGACTTGCTTTGTTATTTTAAACCAAGCGTGCCCATTGTTTCGTGACATGCCCTTTTCGCTTAATCTGTCTGGATGTATTTCCATTATAGTAGACCAACCTCATTTATTTGCTGCATGGATGTCTCACAGTCAAGCTGTTCTTGACTGCTAGCTAGCTAGCAGTAGTATATTAACATTTCCTACACCTTGGTCACCAGTGGATATTAGGAGTAAATTTTTGGTTTATCATTTGAATAGATGATAGAGTCACATGGTTGAAAAGTAGAAGGCATAAGGAACCAATGTCTCCATTTCCTGCTTGTGCAGGCAGCCATGTATCAGTCTCTTGGATATCCATGTAGATTTTTAGTACATAAGGAAAGCATATTGTGTTAGTTTGCCAGGGCTGCCATAACATGTGGATTGGGTGGTTTAAACAATGGGGATTTGTTTTCTTACAGTTCTGGAGGCTAGAAGTCCATGATCAAGGTGTTGACAGGTTTAGTTTTTCCTGATTCCTCTCATCATGGCTTGTAGAGGACCTTTCCTCTGCATACAACTCTTTCCCTACCTCCCTAACCCCATCTCTCTGTGTCCAGATTTCCTTCTCTTGGAATAATACTAGTGAGATTGGATTTCCCTGTATTATACAGTAGGACCTTGTTTATATGGAGCTTATTTTAACTCGAATTACCTTTTAAAAGGCCCTGTCTCCAAACATAGTCACATTCTGAGGGACTGGGGGCTAGGCTTGTTGAATATGAATTTTGGGAGAGACACAATTCAGCCCCTTAAACACAACATGTGTGTAGGTATTCATAAAATATATAATTTTGACACTTGTATAGATTTAACTAATAGCTTAGTGGTTTTCCCAAACTTTGAAGCATCTCTTCAGTAACCTTTTTCCAGTTAAAGATTAGTTGGCATTTCAGAGGTCTAGAGCTGGGCAGCAAAAAGTTTTGATCAAAGGACCATATTTTCATGTGTGTAAAGACAGGCTGATGGAAGGGGGAGTAATCTAGCTTCACAGTGTGACTTAAAAGACCTAGTGAACAAAGGCTCACTGAGCAAAGCCAGTAACTGAAATGGGACAAGAAGGGGAGGAACAAGACCTGACTGAAGAGCTTCGGCCGTCACAGCAATAACTCACTGATGGAAGAGCTCTTCATGCTGCAGCAAAAGGTAGCTGAAAGTCTGATTCTTTTAAGAAAGTAAAAGGCACTTGGATTGGTGTTGCACAAAGATGAGAAACAGAGAAAGAGTTGAGGAGCAAAGCAGGCGACTGCAGTGGCAGGAAGGGTGCAAGCAGCTGCAGAGCCCCAAGGGGGCAGGCAGGAGGGGAGAACTGGGGCACGCTGTCCCTGTCTGGACCAGGGATCCCAGGGTTACAGGTCTGATGGGGGCTTTGTGCTGTCTTTGGATGTAAAGGCTTTGAGACAGGGCAGGGTTAAGGAAAAGGCAAACTACTGAACTTGGGAGGATGGACAGATGTACATTTGACAGTTGACGTAGCAGTGTGCTGCATGGAAGATGGCAAAATGCGTATTTGTTAGTGAATACTTAACTGTTTTTGCCTCCTTCTTCCCTCTTGGGAAAAACTCCCCAGTTGAAGTTAAAGTATCGAAGGTGGTCCACATGTTAAAACCTGGCGTTTCATGTTTCTGTGAAACCCTGTGTGATCTTTGACAGTGCTGGTGGCTTGGGATGGTGGGGCAGGGAAGCAGTAGGTAGGAAGAAGGCTCAGTGTAGTCCATGGATTCTGAGAAATTACCACTGCGGACTGTCAACCAGGAAGTGCTGTCCTGACCATAGAGGGAATAGATGTGGGTGTAGCAGAGAGGAGGAGAGACCCACGGTCCCTACTTATGTGGAGAATGTGGGCACCACTGAAGCATCCTAGGTAGTGAAAGAGGAGTGAACCAGGCTTGTGCATTTTATTTGGATCACTGGGAGTGCTAGTGTAGATGACAGGCTTAATGCTGACTTGCGTATGCTCGGTGGGCCTGATGCCCAGGGTGCTACTGATGTCCCCCAATTCGTCTTGTGTTCCAGAACTTTAAGTGACATCACTTAGCTCTTTTTTGCAAGCTCTTTTGCCTTTTTTTTTTTTTGCTTTGTTTTCCTAATGATTGGGCCCTGATCTTCCCCTTACATGAGTCCTACTTCAGCAGGCTTTCCCAGCACAGCCCATCTCTGAGATCCTGCCCACTCCTATGCCCATCACTGGATCTGCGTTCACGCTCTGACAGAGGCAGGCATATGTGAAAGCCTTAGCCACAGGGATCTGCGCCCAAAGGGCCTGTGTTCTCATTCCCATCTCACTGTCAAGAGCCTGGTGACAAGGCTATTTGCGGGGCACTGCTGTCCTGTGGGTGGGCGGGGACCGGAACCATCTCCACCCGACATCTTCCTGTTGAAACACCACGCGGCTCAGCTCCTGACTGGGGCTTTGCCTCCCTCTGCCTTATGTGCTCCTGGAGGGTAGAGCAAACTATATACGATAAGTACATGTGTGGGTCTGTCCAGTGAGCATGGCTGAGTTACCCCTGGATTTCTGAGTTATCTTTTTCTGCTCCCAAAGCTCTGGCACCCAGTTTGAGGAGATCTGAATTCTGTAAAATGAGTTACAGTGTATGTTTGCAGACTTTCATTAGGGGAGATAGGACTAAAATGGTCGAGGTGGTGGGGAGAGCAGCACCAAAAAAATCAACATTGGGAATTCCCTGGTGATTGAATGGTGCTTTTGACTGTTGAGGGCCCGGGTTCGATACCTGGTCAGGGAACTAAGATATCACAAGCTGTACAGCGCAGCTAAAAAAAAAAAAAATGATACTAAGCCTCCATAGTCTTGGACAAACATCTTTATTTAGGAAATCAAATAAATAGGGTAAACTGTGGTAGCAGCTTCACACAAAGATACAAGACCAAACTGAGAATTCCTTGCTCAGGTCATTCAGAATGGAACAAAATTCTTCAAGTGCTCACAGCACAGAAAATACCTGGTTTTCAATGAACATTTACTTGCTTTTCAATAGACATTTACTGGTTTACAATTAAGATCCCACACTGTTATAGTAAAAAAAAAAAAAGACCACTCCCACCCACTTGGGTATACAGGTATACAGCCTGAAAAGCCTAGAGTACAAGTGCTAATGTGATACAAGCTTTTCTTTGTTTAGAATTCTAAAACTGCCTTAAAACTTTCTACTAGCACAGCTATCAACAGGTTCACTTAATCCTTAGTTTATTGTCTGAGGGAAAGGAAACAAGAACATAACCTGTCACAGTGGTCCTGGCCTCCCACTATACAAACCTGGGCTCAGGAGTCTCGAATTGCAGCAGGATCACTGTTTCTAGGCTCTGATAAGGGCAGGCCTGTGGCACTTGGCACTGCAACACGGTCTGCTCCGGCTTCTTGGGCAAAGCTATGTATACTGCCTATGTGTTTTCATAACATCTCTGGATCTATAGATGAGCCCATGTATGTGCTACCAACTTCATTCCCTACTGCAGAAGCTTTTAGTTTTAAATCTGTCTACCAAATCTTGACAATGATATTTGGTTCTGGAGTGCTTCATCAAGATCAACTATCTGAATGAGGAAAGTCAAAAGCTTATTCTCAATTTTTAAAAATAAAGATATTTCAAGATTACGAATAAAGAGCTCTTTATAAATAAGTGTTCACAAGCAAATATCAATCTGTTCTTAGCTGTAAGAAACTGAATGTGCTATTTTTAAATATAGAAGCAATTTCATTAGGTTTAGATAAACAAACTACAAGTAAACTTTACCATGCTATTTAATCGTTACTTACAATGTACACATTCCTGAGTATACCCCATTGTAGTGACATTGTGTACTTCTGAGTTTTTTTGCATTCAGCTTAAAAGGTGTTTCTTCCCAAGAAACTGAACTTTTCTGTCAAATGCGCTGGATCGAATAGGAGAATTGGGTTCATAAAATGGATTCATTGCAAACTAGGAGAGAAGAAAGTACTCAGGTGAGCTTGTCAAAGTAAAAAAGGCTGACAAATCATAGGTCTCTAAAAGGAAAATATTTTAAAGTTTTAAATTAAGTCATCAAAGACATTCAAAAGTCTAAAGACCACATTTTTAAGTTTCAGTGAAGATGTTCCATTATTAAATGTTAATGTCCCACTAAGGAAATTTCTGTCTTGGTGTTTTAGGGTAGAACCTGTGTCAAAACCCACGGCAGCACATATCTAAGCACTACCTGTGTGAGCAAAACCAACTCCTGGGATCCACCCTGTGTGTGAAATACAATTACACTCATGTTCAACTATCAAGATGTTCATTCATGTGGAAGGCCTCTGGCTATATAAAATACACTAAAAATCTGCCATATGCTCTGATTGAAGAAAAAGTTATACCACACTACTTTTAAAAGTTTGGTAATTTTTAACAATCAGATTTTTAATACTCTGCTTTAACACAAGGCATGTGATCAGTTTCTCAGATAATATGATGAGTAAACCATAATATATGTGAGGGAAAATTAGTACTGGATGGAATCACAAGTGAGGAAAGGAGTTACCAACTTTTATACCTTAATCAGTTGGTGTTGTCCATCTTTATAAGAGGACTAAATATTCTCTGCTACTTCTGACTAGGAATATTGATCATTAACTATGCTGATATGCAAAATATCTTGTGCAAATAAAGAACATTTAAATTATTAAGAATATACTGTTAGCACTGCAGTTAAACCACTCACATCAGTTTTCCTAATTATCAAGAAATGCAAGTGACCCCTTTCTCCTTGAGTGACTTTGATAGTACATGAATCACTTCCTACTGGTTTATGATCTACATTGATTGCACTGTAACTTGTTAATAAGTAGATGGGAAACAGTCTGGAATAAAATCATGAAGCAACTTCCCTTATATAGACTGCTTCTGTGTCTTTAGTTAGGGTTCCCTCATAAAATGAACTATGTGCACGAAAAGGGAAAGAATGAAACTGATCTAAAAATGACGATGAGTTGTCCTGCATGTGTGTTAAGCTGTTGATAAGAGACCTGCCTGATGAGGGCGCTGCGAGGAACAGTCCTGCTGGGGGAAAGCTAGGCAGGGAGGAGAACTGTGCATCTATGGGGGCTCCCTCTACAGGCCAGTGTCCTGCTAAAGTTGGCATGTCTTTTATGATCAGATTTTACAAGGTACAGAACATACCATACCTTTATGTATAAATCATAGACATCAGTAAAGAAGTTCTTGATTCCGTCTTCTTGCCTGACATCATGCAGCATAATAAATCTCATATGTGAAATAATTAAGGTATAATCTTTAGAAATGAAAGCTGAAGAGTTGATCAGTTGATACAATATTCTTCGAGTCACATGCAGTGTATTGTGTGATGGAAAAGATAAACACATAAACTGGGTTCAGAGTTAGGTTAGTTTTATCTTGAAGAGAACATAATCTTTTTAAGTTAGAAAGTAACTACAAAATAAAATCACCCTTGATATGGTTCAGATAAACCTTAATTTTGAGATTGGACTTTAAAATTATCTGTTAAACAAAATATGTCCCCCCCCCCCAAAAAAAAAGCACCACCAATGGCCATTTTTTACCTAACACTTTGCAGTCCACAGACTCAAAACCTGGCATCCATATCTCATGCTGGTCTGGTTTGTCACCCCAACCCTTCATTGGAGCTCTAAACAGGTAAGGATATGACCCGCAGTGACGAATGCTGAGACAAACCATTCATTGAATTTGTCCACCGTCTTCAAGTACATATTGTTCGACAGCCACATGTTCTCATCTACGAGGTCGAGGGCAGCGTGAGCTATGAACTGGTTCAGATGGCGGTGATCATCCTAGGTGACAGTGAGTGACAACAGATTAACACTTCCATACAGGGAATGCTAAACACAGCTTGCTCATGGGGTGGGGGCGGGGGGAAGCTTTCTGCTATAAAAGGTCTTCAGTGTTTTCACACTATTTTCTAATCTGGTATCTAAAACTCAAATAGAAACAGCCAATTACTTATGAAATGTGTTCAAGAAACTATAAAGATTTTTTTTTTTAATTTGCGAAGGAGGACGTTATCAGATTGCATGAGCATTTAAGCATGGGGGAAAAAAAAGAGGATACTTCCTTTAAAAAAAAAAAGAGTAGATCCTTTCGATTTTTCTCCCCTTCCCCTCTCCTCTGCTCAGATCCTGCTTTCAAGAAGTACACATCTTTTGAGGAGGAAGACAGGAAAACACAAGGTAGGCCAGGGAGGTGGTGAGGAAAGCTGCAGGCACCAGCCTCAGGTCGGGGCGGGGCCAGGGCTTGGTGCGCAGGGCAGACAGCCTGGCACTGGCTGCCCTGAGGTGCAGGGAGATCCCAGAGCTGCCAACCTGGATCAGCGCCAGCTGTGTGCAGTCACCTGTACTGACAATGCAAGGCGATCCTGCAAAGCTGGAGACGTCCTTCTCATGGGCCTAAAAGGCCTAACTGAAGAAGGCGGTTCCCCTTGATTGTGGAGAGGAAATTCACAATCTGGAATGCAGCCTCACGCACATGAGATGCTTACTGTCAAAGTGCATTTTTCAAAGAACCCCTCTGTTTTAGGTTCCCCCAATTCCTGTGCTGCAGTCCTACCCCACAGAATGTGGCTATGTTTGAAAAGAGGGTTGTTGCAGATGTCATCAGTTACCATGAGGTCATGTTAGCAGCGAGTGAGTCCCTAATCCAGTGGCTGACGTATTTATAAAGGGGAAATCTGGAGACAGACTCGCATGCAGGGAAAAAGCCACGGGAGACTGCAGTTCTGCCACAAGGCGCAAACTGCCAGCAGCTGGGAGCAAGGCCTGGGACAGGTCTTCCCTAGCACCTTCGGACAGGGCTGCCCTGCTGACGACTTCATCTCAGACTTCTGGGCTTGCCAACCGTGAGACAATCCGGTTCTGCTCTCCTTAGGCAACCAGTGTCTGGTACTATGACTGCAGCCTTGGGAAACGAATGGCACTTCCTAGCTGAGGAGGCTGTGCCTGGGCTGGAGGAAGGTGGTCAGGTGCCCTGGAATCCCTCAGGCAAGTAAAGCACATTTATACTTCAGCACGTGGACAAAACTAATTTATTTCTCAGAGAAATGCATGTGTTTTGTGTCTGGCTCATGGCAGTCTTTCCCTTTGCACTGATGAGCAAACTAGATAGATCAGAAGAAAACTAGGAGTGGTTTACAGAGGTGAGTGGTAGCAGGAGAAAGACCTAAGATCAAGTAACGCAACAGTTTTTATGTGCACCATTTTGCCTACCACAAGGCCAGTGAAATGAGAGAGAAACTGTAAGTAGCTGTATACCACACAAAGCAAGTACTGCTGCAGCGATGCCTCCCCATCCAGGTTTCATATAAGTACCGCGCGCTAACCGATTGCGCAACTGGAGCTCTCCCCATCCAGGTTTCAAACAGCAGTGTGCTCCCAGGAATGTGGGCAAATGATGGAGCAACAACACCTGCTCAGACAATACCTTAGATTTCCATCCTATTTCAGTGGCAAGGTCTGAACAGTTGAAAAGCGTCCTACATTGGACATCATGACTAATTTCAAACATCAGTTCCTGTCTTAGAAGGACGTTAAAGTCTACTTTTGGAGGCTAGGAGAAACATAGCACAGTGGTCAGCAATTTACTTGGAATATGGCTTTGTACAGGGAGATCGAGGGACCAGCTCTCATCCCAAGACCCTACAGGTCTGTTTACTCTTGAGTGGCACCACGTTCTTGAAGCAAGCTGGTTTTTTTGGAACCACTCTTAACAAGAAAGTTGGGTGCTGTCACCAGGGAGGAGAGCATGAGGGCCCCACGTGGCCAGTGGATGCTGTGGGAAGTCGATGACAACAGACACCATCCTGGGGGCGTCAGGAGGACACAGGAGTCGAGGTCTCTCTCAACCCTCTAGCTTGTCTGTCCTGCTGAAAAAGGTGATGTGAGGGCACAGAAGGAGCTTTCTTGGCATTTCAGGGCTGGAGCGCCTGCCCCTGCAGACCCAGTACGATCACCACCTTTGGCGGGTGGTCCAGGGACTGATAACCAGGGAGAGAAGACGCAGGGCATCCTCTGAGCTTGTGCCAAGTGCTGCTGAACTAGAGCACGAACACACAGTGCAGAGGGCGCTCCCGGCGGGCTCCTCTCAACCTGCAGGACTGCAGAGCAAGCCACCTGTGGTTGTGCTGGGTTCGCAGTGACCTCATTTGTCCAGATCCCTTCCAATTCCACAGTCATATCACACCAGTATCATTACAGCAACACCACAAGTGCTACGGGCTTTTTTAAGGTTTCATACGCACTTTGGATTCTGCTTTTCCAGCTGGTAAAAACTCCATTTCAAAAACTGGATTATCATGGTGACCAACGATGACAAAGTAGAAGCTTCCAGACATCGTCTTCAATATAGCTCCTAATTAAATGAAAATAATGTGTATTTTTAGTACTCAGTACCAAAAACCAGGAAGTGAAGAACTCCATTTTTAACTTAAACCTAAATTGTAGAGGAAGTGGCCCCTAAAGTGGCATGCTTTCCATGCCAAGATTGATAGATACCAAGTGACAGATACCATGCCAAGATGATACCAAAGTGCTGCAAAACTAGAAGTGGCAATAATCCTCAAGCTCAAGTGAGGGGAAGAGGGTGGAAGCCTGCATTTTTCATAGAGCAAACGATGACATCATTCCATTCCTATAGATAAATAGCTTGTGACTGATACAGTTTATTTATTTATGATATGTTCTGGAGACTCCACTACTGTATTTTCATAGGGAAATTCGAAGACCTCTAACATGAAATCATAAAAACAACATTCTCCTGATCAGAAAGTGTGGACCATTTACGGTAAGCTGGCTTCACCTTGGGCTGGACCAGTCGGCCTGGGTGCTGACACCTGGTGCCGAGTAGGAAACACTGTGTGTACTGCCACAGAGCACTGCACAGCACTGCTATACAGTCATCTACACACCGGGAGGCGCCTGTCTTCTCCCCACCGGACGGCTCTGTGCTGTGAGTGCAACTGCACAGAGAGGAGCCTGTGAGGAGTCTTTCAAAAGAGGAAGAAACAGTGCTGCACTCTAGAAAAGACGGAAGAAATCATAATCCAAAAGGAAGACATTCTGAGGCATAAAGAGCTCTTGGAACAAGGGTTGATAGGTTTGCTAAGGGCATAAAAAGAGAAAGTAGGGGTGCTGGGGGAGAAATCAATGATTCTGTGATTTTTAGCACAATCACAATCTGGACGGATGGATGGACAGACAGGCGATGGACTCGTGTGTGTAATTTTAGCATGGGGTCTGAATCAGACAAAGCTAGGTTCATGTCTAGCTCTAGTGACACGAGCTCAGGCACACGGAGATGTTGGGCGGGAACCCACTTAACCGGGCACCGACAGTAAGGTATGTGAGAACCCAGGGCTCATCGAGCCTCACCGGGACTTCCATGCCATGAAATCTGAAGACAAAGGCAGGGATGATACCAAAGCTCTGCAAAACTAGGAGAAGTGGCAATGAATCCTCAAGCTCAACTGAGGGGAAGGGGGTGGAAGCTTGAAATTTCCAGAGCAAACAATGACATCATTCCTTCTTGCTGGAAAAAGTTTCATAGGTGTAGTTTGTCATGGGAAGGGCTTGCTTTCTTCAGCACAAACATTTCAGCAGCAGCAGCAGGGGAAAAAATACTAAAGGAAGATACTTCTCCCTCTGCACACATGTTAAGCAGCAGCAGGAGACACTATATGTAAAAGGAAGATTACCCTTCTCCAGCCTCCTAACCCACTCAGCCCCATGTGGAGACCCATGTGGGGGAGAAAAGCAATCCTAAGAAAAGCATGAGGATAAACAAGAAACTGCAAGAAAGAAAGGGGTGATCACAAACCTGTCAGCTATACAGAATGTGAGCTGCTAGTCACGTGATTTCACACAGGATTGAAGAAAGGATGCAGAGAAGCTGAGAGGTGTAGTGGAAGAAAAGGAAGAGGCAAGAGCACATAACCACCCTGTCCCAGGAAGGCAACGGCTACAACCATTTAATATGTGGGGCCTCCTTGGCCTCAGTGGTGAGCAGAGCTGAGACTTGCTCTAGAATTCTGTGCTGTCTGATGGATGGAACTTTCTGCGAGGAGAGAGATGATCTCCATCTACGCAGTCTGTCACCTGAAATAGGGGCCCTTCGAGTGTCTCCAAGGTCTCGAGGTGTGGAGGTGTTACACAGAGCTTGGCAGTGGGTGAAACTGGGGAACTGCAGGAAGAATTCAGGATGTTGCCAAACGTCTGGCTGAGGGGGTCAAGCAGAGTATCAAGGTGATGAAGATATAAAGGAAATCAGAAAGGGAAGGAAGAGGGATGAAAATGAACAGGTCAATTCTGTATGTGTGGTGGCAGCCAGAATAGCTCCCTGGGCCCCCAGCAAGATGCCCACAACCTAGGCTTGGGAAACTGAAAATTAATCTAGGTGCCAAAGGGCATTAAGGCTGTAGATGCAACTAAGGCCTCCCATCAGCTGATCTTCAGGTAGGACAAGGATCCCGGCTACTCAGGTGGATCCAGTGTAATCACCAGAGTCTTTAAAAGTGGAAGAGGGTGGAACCCCAGGGAAGAGTCGAGGGTTGTTGGGGAGGGAAGCATAGCAGTGGGTGGATCACCATGGAGACGAAACCTTGCTGGTTTTTAAGATGGAGGAAACAGCCACGAACCAAGGAATGCGGGTGGCCCCTAGAAGCTGGAAAGGACGACGAAACAGATTCTTCCAGAGAGCTTCCAGAAGGGATTTATGCCCAGTGAGACCCGCGTTGGTCTTCTGCCCTACAAAAGGGTAAGATGATAAGTCTGTGTCGTTTTAAGCCAGTAAATTTGTGGTAATGCTTTATGGCTGCAGTAGGAAACCAACAACACGTCAAAACTGAAAAAACCTGCAGGCTTAAGAAAAAGGGGGTAGAAGAGACTGGGAACAAAGTGAGCTTATTTTCCATGGGTCACAGGTTTCAGAGTCCTGTGGAAATGGGGGGCCAATGGTGCATCAAGGTAGAGCAACCCGGAGCAGTACAGGGACAAGAGTGGAGCGAACAGTGGCTGGGGTTTCCAGCTAGTGTCTCACACCCTTAACAGGAAAACTGCTCAGTGCTCGCGGGACGGAGCTGCAGGGAGCAGGGGGAGGGCATGCCGCTGTACACTCAGTCGCGTCCTACTCTTCGTGACCCCGTGGACTGTAGCCTGCCAGGCTTCTCTGTCCATGGGATTTTCCAGGCAGGAACACTGGAATGGGTTGCCATCTCCTCCTCCAGGGGGAAGGCATAGTGCCAGAATATAAGAAAGGGAAGGCAGGAAGGAGGTGGGGGAGGTGGGATTAATTAGCCTTAACAAAGGCGAGAACCTTCTGAAAGTTCTAGTGACGACGCCCTCCAGGGCCTTGACTGATGAAGCCTGTGTCATGTGATGAACAGCACATTTGTTAGAAGTTGCCACAGTTGTTAAAATAGGATGAAGAAACCCTCCTTTACAAGGGCAGGACTTGTTGGCTGAACAGAGGGGAGCCAGGATTCCCGTCTGTGCTGAGAGCAGCTGTCTGTGGTGGTTAAAATGTCTTGAACTGCTTTTGAGAGACAAAGAACTGAAGAAATCAACAAGGAGCTCTGGACTTCTTGAAGAGACTGTGTACAAGATGTGAGAAGTAGAGCACTAGCTAGTAATGGTCATAAAGTAGGACCAGAAAGCCAGGAGGCTTGAGTCAGAAGGGCAAAAGCCCCACATGAGCTGAAATGTGTGCTATATGTTAAGAAAAACAAGAGACATGCAGGCCACTATCAGGAAAAAGCAAGGGAGAATGGTCAATGATTTGAGGCCCCTGGTGTGTAAACATTCTCAAAGAATGGTTTTCACATAGCAAGTGTGGAAGACATGAGGTAGGCAGGCTATGAACCCCAAGACAGGCCTGTTAAAGAAACAGTTGGGTTAACAACTCTGATGGTCTGACTACTGACCAGGGACATTTGAGAAATCACAGGAATAGAAAGAGCCAGGCTTTCAGAGGTTAGTAACTGTTATGCCAACTTTCGGAAAACAAAAAGGCTTATCTTGTTGGCCCTGCTGGTGGCCCAGACAGTAAAGCGTCTGCCTGCAATGCAGGAGACCCAAGTTTGATCGCTGGATCAGGAAGATCCCCTGGAGAAGGCAATGGCAACCCACTCCAGTACTCTTGCCTGGAAAATCCCATGGACGGAGAAGCCTGGTAGGCTACAGTCCACGGGGTCGCAAAGAGTCAGACACGACTGAGTGACTTCACTTTCACTTTATCTTGAAGTCTGAGTACTACTGAAGAGATTAAAACACCAACAGAAACAGGTGTGAAATGCCTGTCCTCAGTCAGACCCTATGCTGGGAACTTCTGTGATAAACTAAGTCCTTTAACGTGTATCCTTAGAAAGAGTGGGTCACTACTCACTTGTTCTAGAAGAACAAGTCATTCCAGACCTACACTTCCTGTTGTGGAAGGTAACTAGGGAGATGGTGAGTCACCTTCTGAACTCATGTGGTTCTCCACCTAAGAACTCATGGGAGACCAGTAGCCTGGGTGACAGCGTCTGGTACCCCCAGAGCAAGAGCAGTGCTGGGGACCCAGGATGTGCATGTTCTCTGCTGAAGGAGGGACAGTAGGGGACTGACTGGAACATTCACATGCTCCATGTCACTGGACAGCATGGGGTCTCTCGGGAGCCTTGGAGGTTGACCTTAACCTAGTGCAGCTCAAGGGGTTTGCATCAGTAACTGAGATGAAGCCAACTTCTCACACCCAAAGATAACATGCTAAGGGCACCTAATTTATTAGAAGGCTAAAGTTAGGATTCAAAAGACCTCCATGGCTAGGAGAAATAGGTGACACAATCAGGACAGAATTTAAAGAATTCGAAATAAAGTCCTATACTTGGGCTGAAAAAATCAACAGCACAACAAGGGGATGAGGGAAGCCTAGTGTAAGAGTAGCTCATCTGCAGAGACCACTTCTCATTTACTGCCAGCTCAGTCAGAGGCAGCAATCCAATACACTGGCCAGAAAAGCTAATGCAATTCCAGACTGCATTAAGAAAAGATAATGTCCTTATGACTAATAATACCATCTCTGGGGAAGATACTCAGTTCTGGGAATCACAGTTTTAAAATTCATTAACTCTGAACTTTGTGTGTTGGGAGGAGGGAAGCATTTAGGCTAAGGAACGCCCTGGGAACAAGACAAAAGCTATTACTGAAGGAGCTAAGGATGTTTAAAATGGAGGCAGGGTAAGACCTTTTGTTGGGGATGGGGGGAGGCAGTGGAATAGGTGCAGTCTTTATAAATATGATGCTGTCCATGGGAAGGGACTTGACTAGGGATGCCAACTGGTTTTCCCCCATGAGCTTGTTCTAATCAGCTGGTAGTGAGGGTCAGGAACTAGTGCTGAGAACGATTCTGAGACTAAGGGTGGTTGGGGGAAAGATTGCTGTGATCAGTTACCACATCTGCTATGGGTTTGGGAAAGGGCAGTGCCTATGCGAGTGCCAAGTATTAGCTAAATCTGAACTAGACAGATTTATTCCAAACTGTTCCAGAGGCCAAGCCAAGGGCTGCTCCTTTGAAGTTAACCTGGAAAGACATTTGGGTGAATATAATTGAGAACTTAGTAACCAAGAACTATCAGGTTGCCTGTGAAATGACTCCATACTAACATCTTAGAACATTCTTCATCATCTCACTATTCTGCTCAAAAGCCTTAGTGCGTCTCATCTAACTAAGTACCAGTATCCAAAACCTAGTCCCATGTTGTTCTACCTCAGCTACAGTGGATTGGTATACTTATTTTTTCCCTCTCCAGCTGATTGTGTCGAGTCCAGACTTATTTCTCTCTTCATGCCTGGAATACTCTAATTCTGTGTTTACCTTACCCATCTTTCAAAGTCTACCCAAATCCTTCCTTCTCCAAGTATTTCCCAACCCAACCTACATGGTCTCTACCTCCTATTTAAGTCCTGTCACTCTTGATGCTTATTAAATCGTTTAAGCCTTTCATGGCTAGGGGCGAAAATTCACTGTACTCTTCAGTGCTGCTCACAAAGCTAACACTGGCCCAATTTCCTCCTCACAGGTAGGCCTTAGATACCTTATACCCACAGCATGGGGCTCTGGAGTCAGGCCAGATACCTCACTGTTCTTGAAAGGGTTCTGGTTTTTTTATTCCTTTCAGAATTTTCACCCTTCCTCCTTTGCTTTTTGTCCACCATCCAAGCACTACCTAACAATGCCCTGATGAAGTCACAGTTTTTTCAGAGATGTGCCCACTCATGTATATCCCCAACCACTTTTTCTAAAATCTTTACTCAGTCTACAATGCATCTCTGGCTCAGATGGTAAAGAATCCACCTGCAATGTAGGAGACCCCGGTTCGATTCCTGGGTTGGGAAGATCCCCTGGAGATGAGAGTGGCAACCCACTCCAGTATTCTTGCCTGGAGAATTCCATGGACACAGGAGCCTGGTAGGCTACAGTCTATGGGATCGCAAAAAGTCGGACACAATTAAGCAAGTAACACTTTTCACAATGCATCTTAGTTCTTAGCCAATTCTCTGGCTACGTTTTCAGCATTGCTTCTCAAGAGACTTTTCTAATTAGATTTAAGCACCTTGGGGACCCAACTCACCTATCTTCTTCACAGCACGCACCAAGTGTAGCTCACTGGTTTTTAACCAGGGGCGATTTTGCCTCCCAGGGACAGGCGGCAATGTCAGGAAGTTGTCAGAACTGGGAGGGAGGTGCTACTGGCATCGATTGGGTGGAAACCAAGGATGCTGCTCAGCATCTTACAGTGCGCAGGACAGCACCACAATGGAGCATTTTCCGACTCCAAACGGCAATAGTGCCGCAGTTAAGAAATCCAAGGTGGGCTGAATAACTCAACCCAATGAAAGTTATTACAAGAAGCAAAGCGCCTAAGCAGGCGGACGTTTGCAAATTGAATCTCGGTGTGGAATGGCCGGCCGGGCTGTTGATGAGCTCAGCCGGCCAGGGACAGAGGGGAGAGAAAGGGCCAACACCCAGCTCCCGCGGGACAGGACATATCCCTCAGAGTCCCCAAACGCCAACCGTCCACTCGCTCCATCCCCCTACCTGCGGCGAGACGCCGGCAACCGAAACACCCCTTCAGTTGCCCCGGAACGGAACCGCGCTCCTCAACTTCCGTAGGGACTCCGGAAGCAGCCCTCGCGAAACTTCGCGGTACCGCCCTCGCATCGTGGGCGGAGCTTCCTGCCGCAGCCCTACGCAGCTTGGCGCTTGCGCCGTAGTGCCCTAGGCTAAGGCTTCTCAGTTTGCCGGACGGCGGGGAGGGCTGGGATCGGCTCTGGGCGGCGCGAATTCCGGCCGATTCTGCACTTTCTCTAGACTTCAGTCTTCCGGTCTCCGCCCGTGAGAGTCGCGCGTGGGCCATCGCCACGCCCACCTATCAGAACTTCCAAGAAGTGCGCGTCTCTGTCCGAGTTCCTAGTTCGCAGTGCGAAGCGGAAGGATCACATTGTTCCTCCTGGTACTCTGGGGTTGAGGCAGAACTCTGAAGGCAGGGGTTCCCCTAGGCCAGGGCTTGCATCCCAGGTTCGGACTCAAACTTGGGGCACGGTGGGGCGGGCTCGGGAGGAAGCCGACACCTGATGGCTCAGGTAGATACACCTGCCGCCTCCTTGAGGCGGGCGGAAGTGAAGCCTTTGGTTCCGTTAAAACGCCTTTCTCCCCTGGGCTTGTGAGGGCTTCCTTGGAGACCACTGGTCTGTGTGCAGAATTTAACATCCCCTCTGCTCTGCCCGCCAGGTAAACCGTAACCGATTCTCTTCTGGTCCATCATGTTCCCCAAATCTGATGTGTTGAGTCAAGATGATCTGCGCAAAAAGCTGTACCAGACGTTTAAGGATCGGGGTGTACTGGACACACTCAAGGTATCAGTTTTAGGCATATCTGTTAAGGGAGATTTTGCAAGTGTAACCCGTGAAAGGTAGTACATGTAAACACATCCATGTCTTGGGTTTTAAAACTGGCGTGATACACAGATTGTGTTGGTGAGTTATATTGCTCTGTTCCCGTGTAACTCTTTAATCGTTAAATAAACACATTTTAGTAACTTTTTTCTTTAAGAAATCTTAGGTGTTCCTGAGTTATTAAGTGGTTTTGTAATACTCATATTTGAATGGAGGATATTGACACCATATAGGAAACATTAAGGGACTACTTACTGGAGAAAAGTTTGGGGAAGGAGAAATTTCTTCTTTAAAATATATTGAAAGGTATAAACACTTGAGCAGCAAATATTTCTTAGGACACTTTGTGTATGAATTAACAGCAGGAAGTAGGATTAGCTCAAATGTGTTTTCTATGTATATTTCATAAAAGTGTTTTACACTTAAAGTAGGAAATAGAGGGAAAACTTTTTCTTCTGGCTGCTCCATGGTTTTTGTACCTTAAAAATACTTCAAACTCATCTGAAATACAGAAAAACATACAGAAGAGATGTCATCTCTAACACAACCACTAATTGGCATACTGTTTTGTCTGTTTGTGACATGTTCCCCTTGCCTGTTTTTTCCCCCTAGAGTGCTAGTGTTTTCTTCTTGATATATTTCTTATTGATGTATTCATGCATTTCTTATTGATGTATGCTCTCTTAATGGCAAATTAGTCATCTTTCCATTTTGTGACAATACTGTTGGTGTTCAATTTTATTTTGGCTCTAAAAAAGCTAAAGTTGCATTTTTCTATGGTCAAATCTCTTGTTCACTATTTTCTACTGATTATTCTCAGTAAGTCATTCCCACTAAGAATGAATATTCAATTTTTTTTGAATATTCAATTTTTAAGTTTTTAAAAAGATTTCGGTTTTTTTTGCAGTTAAGTCTTTAACCTACTTGGAATTAATTGTAGTATGTCGTGCATTAGTCCACTTTCTTATGCAAAACGTTTTTTGAATCTAGGCATGTTGTATGTTCTTTTACTGTGCTTTGGATTTTGTTTAGTAGGATTATACTTCATGTGTGTGGTCACCATTGATAGTGACTTATCATTATCCTTTTTATGGCTTTGGTATCAGGATTATGCTAGCCTTGTTCTCTTTACAGCTGCAGTCTACCCTCAGAAATACTCTTTGTTCTTTGCTGCTGACCATTCAGTTTCTGTTACTCTAGCTTCATCAATGACAGGAAGAAATTTTACTTTCTCAGTCTGAGCTAATTTATTTTCTCAGTTTAAGGACTGGTCTGGGTGAGTTCTAATTTTTGAAACTCCCTGAAGTGTTTAGTGGTCTAATTCACATTCTGTTTGAGTGTTTGAAAAGAATTTGTTTTAATGGTTAAGTCCAAAGTTATATCAGTATCTGTTAAATGAAATTTATGAAATCTTTTTCCTTATTTTGAATCTAGTCTGTCAGTTTCTTTTTTTAAATTGGTGTATAATTGCCTTACAATGTTGTGTTAATTTCTGCTGTACAATGAAGTGAATCACCTATATATTCCTCCCTTCCTCTTGAACCCACCATCCCACCCCTCTAGGTCATCACAGAGCACCGAGCTGAGCTCCCTGTGTTTATAGCAGCTTCCCACTAGCTGTCTATTTGCACATGGTAGTGTATATGTCATTCCTAACCTTCCAATGCGTTCTCCCCCTCCCCTGTGTCTGCATGCCCCTTCTCTATGTCTATGTCTCTATTCCTCCCCTGCAAATAGGTTCACGTGTACCATTTTTTTAGATTCCACGTACATGAGTTAATATATGATATTGGTTTCTTTCTTGCTGACTTACTTTACTCTGTATGGCAGACTCTGGGTCCATCCACATCGCTGCAAATGACTCAATTTAATTTCCTTTTATGGCTGAATAATATTCTATTGTATATATGTACCACATCTTTATCCATTCATCCATTGATGGACATTTAGGTTACTTCTATGTACTGGCTGTTGTAAATAGTGCTCTGGTGAACATTGGAGTACATGTGTCTATTTGAATTATGGTTTTCTCAGGATATATGCACAGTAGTGGGATTGCTGGGTAATAGGGTAGTTCTATTTTTACCTTTTTAAAGGCACTCCATACTGTTCTCCATAGTGGCTGTATCAATTTACACTTCTACCGTCAGTGCAAGAGGGTTCCCTTTTCTCCACACCCCCTCCAGCGTTTATTGTTTGTAGATTTTTTGATGATGGTCATTCTGACCAGTGTGAGCTGATTACTCACTATAGTTTTGATTTGCATTTCTCTAATAATTAGTGATGTTGAGCATCTTTTCATGTACCTCTCAACTATGTTTATGTCTTCTTTGAAGAAATGTCTAGATCTTTGCACATTTTTTGACTGGGTTGTTTGTTTTGATATTGAGCTGCGTGAGATGTTTGTGTATGTTGGAGATAAATCCTTTGTCAGTTGCTTCATTTGCAAATATTTTCTCCCATTCTGAGAGTTGTCTTTTCATTTTGTTTATGTTTTCCTTTGCTCTGCAAAAGATTTTAAGTTTATTTAGGTCCTATTTATTTATTTTAAAAAAATTTTTATTACTACTATAGGAGGTAAGTCAAAAAAGATCTTGCTGTGATTTATATCAGAGTGTTCTTCCTATGTTTTCCTGTAAGAGTTTATAATGTCCAGTGTTACATCTATGTCTTTGATCCATTTTGAGTTTATTTTTCTGTATCATGTTAGAGAATGTTATAATTTTGTTCTTTTTCATGTTGCTGTCCAGTTTTCCCAGGATCACTTACTGAAGAGATTGTTTTCTCTTCATTGTATGTTCCTGTCTCCTTTTTCACAGATTATGTGATGGTAGGTATGTGGGCTTATCTATGGGTTTTTATCCTGTGTCATTGATCTGATCTGTATTTCTGTTTTTCTGCCAGTATCATACTGTCTCGATTACTGTAGCTTTGTAATATAGTCTGAAGTCAGGGAACTTCATTCCTTCAACTGTTTTTCTTTCTCAAGATTGCTTTGACTATTTGGTGTGTTTTGTATTTCCATACAAACTGTGAAAATTTTTGTTTTAATTCTGTGAAAAATGCCATTGGTAATTTGATAGGCAGTGGCACCCCACTCCAGTACTCTTGCCTGGAAAATCCCATGGACGGAGGAGCCTGGTAGGCTACAGTCCATGGGGTCGCGAAGAGTTGGATACGACTGAGCAACTTCACTTTCACTTTTCATTTTCCTTCCTTGGAAAAGAAAATGGCAACCCACTCCAGTGTTCTTGCCTGGAGAATCCCAGGGATGGCAGAGCCTAGTGGGCTGCCGTCTATGGGGTCGCACAGAGTCGGACACGACTCAAGTGACTTAGCAGCAGCAGCAGCAGCAGTACTGAATCTGTAGATTGCTTTGTGTAGTAGAGTCGTTTTCACAATATTCTTCCAATCTAACACATCTATTTCTGTTTATATCCTCTTTAATTTATTTCACCAGTCTTTTCTGAGTACAGGCCTTTTGCCTCTTTAGATAGATTTATTCCTAGGTGTTTTATTCTTTTTGTTGCATTGGTAAATGGGATTGTTTCCTTAATTTCTCTTCCTGATCTTTCATTGTTAGTGTATAGGAATGCAAGCCAAATTCATGGATTAGTGCTAGTAGTTTTTCTGGTGGCATCTTTAGGATTTTTCTACGTAGAGTACGTCTGAAAACAGAGTTTAACTTCTTTTAAAACTTGTATTCCTTTTATTTCTTTTTCTTCTCTGATTGCCATGGCTAGGACTTCCAAAAATATGTTGCATAATATTGGTGAGAGTGCACATCCTTGTCTTGTTCCTTATGTTAGAGGAAATGCTTTCAGGTTTTCACCATTGAGAATGATGTTATTAGTTGTGGGTTTGTTGTATACAGCCTTTATTACGGGCTTTTGTTGGGGTAGGTTCCCTGTATGCCCACTTTCTGGAGAGTTTCTTTTTTTTTTTAATCATAAATGGATATAGAAATTTGTCAAATTTTTTCAGCACCTATTGAGATGATCATATGCTTTTTATTCTTCAACTTGTTGATATGGTATATCACAGTGATTTATGTATATTGAAGAATCCTTGCATCCCTGATCATGGTGTATGATCCTTTTAATGTGTTGCTGGATTCTGTTTGCTAGTGTTTTGTTGAGGATTGTTCAATCTGTGTTCATCGATTATAGTAGTCTGTAATTTTCTTGTGATATCTTTGTCTGGTTGTGGTATCAGGGTCATAGTGGCCTTGTAGAACAAGTTTGGGACTGTTCCTCCCTCTGCAGTTTTATGGAAGAATTTGATAAGGATGGATATTAACTGTTCTCTAAATGTTTGTTAGAATTGGTCTGTGAAGCCATCTGGTCCTGGCCTTTTGTTTGTTGGAAGATTTTAAATTACAGTTTCAATTTTATTACTTGTCATTGATCTGTTTATTTCTTCCTGGTTCAGTCTTAGAAGGTTGTACCTTTCTAAGAATTTGTTCAGTTCTTCCAGGTTGTCCTGTTTATTGGTGTAGTTTCTTGTAGTAGTCTCTTATCCTTTGTATTTCTGTGGAGTTAGCTGTAACTTCTTTTTTTTTTTCATTTCTGATTTATTGATTTGAATCCTCTCCCTTTTTTTCTTGATGAATCTGGCTAAAGGTTTATCAATTTTGTTCGTCTTCTCAAGTAACAAACTTTTAGCTTAATTGATCTTTGCTGTTGTCTTCTTTGTTGCTATTCCATGTATTTCTGCTCTGATATTTATGATTTCTTCTACTACAGGATTTTGTTGTTGTTCTTTCTCTAGTTGCTTTAGGTGTAATGTTAAATTGTTGAGATTTTTCTTGTTTCTTGAGGTGATATTGAATTGCTATAAACTTCCGTCCTTTAACTGCTTTTTGTTGTGTGTTCTGCAAGTTTTGGGTCATTGTGTTTTCATTTTCATTTGCTTCTATGTATTTTTTTAATTTCCTCTTTGATTTCTTCAGTGATCTCTTGGTTATTTAGTGTATTGTTTAGCTTCCAGGTGTTTTTCTAAAATAGTTTTTTCCTGTAACTGATATCTAATCTCATAGCATTGTGGTTGGAAAAGGTGCTTGATACAGTTTAAATTTTGTTAAACTTGGCGAGGCTTGATTTGTGACCCAAGATGTGATTTTTCCTGGAGAATGTTCCATGTGCACTTAAGAAGAAAGTGTATTCTGCTGCTTTCAGATGGAATGTCCTGTAAATATCAATTAAGTCTATCTGTCTGGCCTAATGTATCATTTCTAGCTTGTGTTTCCTTATTTTCTGTCTGGATGATCTGTCCATTGGTGTAAGTATGGTGTTAAAGTCCACCACTACTATTGTTACTGTCAATTTCCCTATTTATGGCTGTTAGCATTTGCCTTATACATTGAGATGCTCCTATATTGTGTGCATGTATATTTATAATTGTATGTTTTTGGATTGATCCCTTGATCGTTATGCAGTGTCCTTCTTGTCTCTTATAGTGGTCTTTATTTTAAAGTCTATTTGTCTGATATGAGTACTGCTACTCCAGCTTTCTTCTGATTTCTATTTGCATGGCATATCTTTTTGCATCCTCTCATATTCAGTCTGTGTGTGTCTTTATGTCTGACGTGGGTCTCTTGCAGACAGCATGTACATGGGTCTTGTTTTTGTATCCGTTCAACCAGTCTGTGTCTTTCGGTCGGAGCATTTAATCCATCTCCATTCAAGGTAATTGTCGATATGTATGATCCTGTCACCATTTTCTTGATTGTTTTGGGTTTGTTTTGTGGGTCTTTTTCTTCTTCTGTGTATCCTGTCTGTAGAAGTTCCTTTAACATTTGTTGTAAAGCTGATTTGGTGTTGTTGAATTCTCTTCGCTTTTGCTTGTCTCTAAAGTTTTTGATTTGTCCATTGAATATGAGTGAGATCCTTACTGGATAGCGTAATGTTTGTTTTATACTCTGTCAATTTCTGAGAGGTGTGCTGAGGGTCCATAATTTTCATCTCTCCCACTTCCCCTCCACCCCCATGACATTTGTGGGGTTTTTGTTTGTTTGTTTGTTTTTTGAGCAGAGAAAGGTTTATTACAGGGCCAGGTAAGGAGAATGGGTGGCTCATGCTCAAAATCCCAAACTCCCCAGTGCTTTTGGGGGAGAAATTTTTAATAGGCAGATTTTCTGGTGAGGGCTCTGTCCTTATTTCTGTCTTAGGGACATTGCGGGCTTGAATTCTGAAAATAGATTTCCCGCTTTGCACTGGCTTCTGGAAAGCCCCCAGCCACTTTTTGGATTCCTTCTAGCAAGTGGTAGATTGTGTGCTTTTTGTGTTTGTCTAGATGGAAATTCGTCTGTAATGTCATTCCACTGTTGGCTACTCTTCTTTTCGTTTAACCCAACATATCCCTAATTTAATTCTTGTGCATTTCAGTACTTGTTTGCAAGATACTTTAAATGCTTTTAATTAAGCTGGATCTGAATATATTTCTTCTTCCCTATGTTTCAAATTAAATTAAACCGTTACATTTTACTGGTGGGAAAGGCTATAGTTACTTAACTGCATCAGATGAGACAAAGCATCTATATTCGTTTAGTGTAAAAGTGTTGTTTACTATAGGATTTTAAATATACGTATAATAAATTCTGTTCTACACTACTAAGTATTTACTTTCTGCTCTTTAGCTAAAGGATGGAAGGGATGTAAAAAGATCTCCATTTGTTTCTTGTTTGTATTCTATTAATAACAATTTCTTAGATGTTATTTACTGCTGAAGTGCCATGAATCTAGGCAGTGTACTCTTAAACTTGGCCCAATTGTATGTTTCCAGATTATGTGCAAAATAGTTAAAAAAAATATCCATTAGTTCAAATAACTTACGGGATTTTCTTAAAACCCAAAAGAATAATGATGCTCATATTATAACCTAGAGAAAATTAGCCACCTTGAACCTTAATTTTCTCCTTTGTAAGATAGAAGAAAATTATGATGTTTTACAGTGTCTAGAATTATAAACAGTCCACATGAAAGTGACTCTTAGTGTTTTTGGGTTTACTGATTTCTCTCGCATATATTATTTCCCTTTGGGGAACCTTATTTTACTTTGATTAATATACTTTAACATATTTAACCAGATATTTTCATCTCCTCCAATAACCTGCAGAGAAGTGAGGGAGTAGCCAAGTTTTCTCCTATATTTGAAACCCCAATGAAAAGTTCCTGAACTGGAAAGTGAAGGGAGTCTCACCATGTTGTGGCTCACCCCCAGTCAAGCTGCTCTTTCCAGAACCCACTGGGCTGTTTGTCTCACGGGGTAAGACAGAGTGCGAAGGAGAAGGTTCCTAACTTTTGGCCATAAATCTTGAACCATTCTGGAAGTGAAAGGAAGGATTCTAATTCATGTGACAAATCCGTGTACCTCCAGTGGAAAAAAGTCCTGCTGAAATGGTTTTCTCTTTTGTTTCATTTTTGTATTTGTTCTAGACACAACTCAGAAACCAGCTGATTCACGAACTGATGCAGCCTGTTCTAAATGGTAAAGTGCAGTCCCCATCCATCTCAGTGGAAGAGAGCGCCCTCATAATAGGAGCTTCCAACTCTCTAGTGGCCGATCACTTACAGAGATGTGGCTATGAGTATTCGCTTTCTGTCTTCTTTCCGGAAAGTGGTTTGGCAAAAGAAAAGGTAACATCTTTGCTTTTCTGAACTTTGTCTAGCAGCTTCTTCCTCAGGTAATAGCTAAGTGCTCCCTAGAGAGCTGGGTAAACAGACCCAGCTTTTTTGTCTCTGAAATTACATCATGTATTTGTTAATAATGCGACAAAGGAGTATGAAATCTAACATCATTATTAGTTCCTTGGTGGCTTGGTTTGTCTTTATAAAATTGTGATGTTTTGGAGCTAGAATTGACCTAACACTCTATGTAGTCTGAGACCCTAAACTGCCATTTATGTTGAACGTCTGTTGTGAGACTAGCGCTGCTGGTCACTCTGCAAATAGGTGATGGATTGGAGGTGAGGATCCAGCCTCTGGAGGGGTGAGATGATTTACTCAAACTGACATGATTTGTAAGTGGCAACCAGGGCATTAATCTACATCTACAATGTACTTTCTTGAGTCTGCTACAATCTCTTCAGATACTTGTCCTGTTTGTGATTAAGTAAGAGAAGAATAAGTACCTTTTAAAAACCTGTGGAGGTCTTAAATAGTGAAACAGCTTTTTCCTAATTATTTTAACTGTCTCTCCACCAACCATTGAACATGGTAGTTACACTTTGTTATTTTAAAGGTAGATATAGCCAACTTTCTGTTTTTTTTTTAACAGACTTAATTTTTTTTATAGCAGTTTAGTTTCACAGCAAAAATGAACACAAAGGGAGATGGCCCATCTACCCCCTCACCCCACACAAGCATAGCCTCCCCCCCAACCCCAGCATTTTCTACTATGTACATTTTTACATTCAGTGAACCTACATTGGCACTTCATTATCCCCTGAAGTCTGTAGTTTACATCAGGGTTCAGTCTTGGGGTTGTCCCTGTGTTTTTGCTGTTTATCTTGGCCATAATTGCCCAGAAGTGGGATACTCAGAAGTTGTAAGAGAACAATGGAATTGTTATTGGAAAAACTTAAAATTTAAATATCCTGCATAGGGACGTCCCTGGTGGCTCAGTGTCTAAGACTCCACACTCCCAATGCAGGGTCTCTGGGTTCAATCCTTGGTCAGGGAACTAGATCTCACATACCACAACTAAGACCCAGCCCAGCCAAATACATACATAAATACTTAAGTAAATAAATAATGAATAGATACAGTATATTTAAACAACCAAATTTTACCAGCCTTAGAAATTCCTTTTTGATCCTTCCATCTGTGTTTCTCATATTTCACAATTTTGCTGCTCAAATGAATAATAGTCAATCTCATAGTTATAGCACTGATGTAGTTTACACACTTAAAGGTTTCTGTACTATAAATTATTTTCTTTAAGGGAAAACTAACTGAAGATTATATCAATGTCCTCAGGGTAGACATAATAAACAATACACATGATAGTAGAAATCCATGTTAAAAATATTTACGCAAGGGACTTCCCTGGTGGTGGAGTGGCTAAGAATCCGCCTGCCAATGCAGGGGACATGGGTTCAATTCCCTGGCCTGGGAAGATCCCATGTGCTGCAGAGCAAATAAGCCCCCAAGCCCTAGAGCTTATGCTCTGTGATAAGAGAAGCCATTGCAATGGGAAGCCTGCACACTGCAGTGAAGAGTAGCCCCCACCTGCCACAACTCGAGAAACCCATGCACAGCAACGAAGACCCAGTGCAACCAGAATAAATCAAATAAAAAAAATTACTCAAAATGTTTGACCACAGGTATATCTAAAATAGCTTTAAACATTCATAGTTTCAAAGAGAGTAAAAACCTAGTTTATTTCCATTTTGAAGCAATAGTAATTTTAAAACTTCATTGCCATTGAGAGACCCTGGAATACACTCACATGTTCATGGGTGAACTCAGATATTTGAGTGTCAGCTGTAAGCCATTAACCATTTCTGTTATTTCTGTCAGGCATGTCATTTTTTAAAGATACTTAAAAATTTTTTGAATTTATTTTAGACTGTGCTGGGTTTTCGTTGCTGCATGTGCTTGTCTCTAGTTGTGGCAAGCGGGCTACTTTTTGTTTTAGCATAAGGCTTCTCATTGCCGGGGCTTCTCTTCTTGTGAAGTATGGGCTCTCTGGCCCGGGGGCTTTAGTAGTTGTAGCATGTGAGCTGTAGAGTTTCCCGCTGCAACTCGAGATGAGGCCCAATTCCCCTGCAGCAACTCGAGAGCAACCCCAAGTACCCCCTCGCAACTTTAAAGGAGGCCTGACTCCCCTGAGGCAACACAAGAGGTTCCCTCAGGTTCCCGTCGCAACTCAAGAGGAACCCCGAGCTTCCCACCGCAACTCGAGAAAAACCACGAGGTTCCCCCCTCTACGTGAGATGACTCTCAGTTCCCCTGCAGCAACTCGAGAGCAATCCAGCGTTCCCCCTTGCAACTCAAAAGGAGGCCTGACTCCCCTGAGGCAACACGAGAGGTTCCCTGAGGTCCCCATCAACTCGGGACCTCAAAGTTTAGTGTAATTTAAATAAACAGCCACAATTTAAATAAAATAGTTGTGGTGCACAGGTTTACCTGCTCCGTGGCATGTGGGATCTTCCCGGACCAGGGATCAAACTCATGTCTCCCATATTGGCAAGCAGATTCTTCACCACTGAGTCACCAGGGAAGCCCCAGGTATATCATCTTTGATGTGAATTATTTGGAGGTTAATTACATGATCAAGAGAAATTTTATCCTTTTGACTTCAAAGTTTAGTGTAATTTATTTAATAGTATGAGAAAATTTAGATTTTATGTTATTAGCATGTATTTATAAGCTTATTTAGTCTGAACCATGATTTTTAGTCTTATATTTGGAAACATCCTAAATCATCACTTAATCATTGATGTTAAAATATGTGTACTTTTTCTTTTTTAAGGTATTTACTATGCAGAATCTATTGCATCTTTTTAAAATCAGTCCTGAATCCAGTCTCTACAAGTCACTGGTAGGATTGTTCAGTTTTTAATAATCTGCTTTGGTTTGTTAATAATAATAGTTGAATAAAAGTTAACTGTTTTCTTTTAACAGATTTCAGGATTTGATAAAGAAAACCAAAAAGGTAGGAGACTTCATTTTTGTAGAGAATTGGAACATTTTTGTTATGTGTTTTTTTGTATAAAAATATGAAGCTAATACTTTTTAGGTGGAAGAATAGGGAATTTAAATTGAATCATTTAAATAGGGAATTTAAATTGAATCATCAGCTTTTTCTTGTGGCAGTTCACTTTAAAATAGAACCATTCATCTGTCTTGACAAGTGTGGATCCTTTTCCCCCAATTTTCAACCTTTTAAGGTAGCTCTTACTCAAATAAGAAAGCTAGAGATAGCATCAAAAGCCCTACAAACAGGTTGAAAGCTAGTTTTTTTTTTTTAAGATACCCACTGTATGGAACATTTCCAAAACAAAGAGAACAGTTTAGGCATCTGTCTTTGTATCCTAGATATCCCCCAAGTACAGTATATCAAGTATTGTGTTTGTATTTGCTTGAAGAATGAACTGTATGTTGTATGTTATTTTTGTAATCAAGTGTTTATATAGATCTGATGCTGTTGCTTCAGTCATGTCTCACTCTTTGTGACCCTATGGACTGTAGCCCTCCAGGCTCCTCTGTTCATGGAATTTTCTGGGCAAGAGTACTGGACTGGATTGCCATTTCCCTCTCTAGGGAATCTTCCTGACCCAGGGATTGAACCCTCGTCTCTTAAGTCTCCTGCATTGGCAGGTGGGTTCTTTACCACTAGCGCCACCTGGGAAGCCCAACTACTCTGAGATAATAGAAAAAATATATATTGATCTCTGCCCCCAAGTCCTAGCACACAGCTCCCCAAACCCATGTAATGTCTAAGAACACACGGAGCAGCTCTTGTTCTGGTGTTGGTCTTTGACCTCAGTTCTAGACACAGGACCCCAGAAACCCTTGTAGTTTCTGGGTGTCTCTTGTTTGAATGAGCCAGCACTGGGCGTGCTCCTGGATAGGGGCTAGTCATCAGAAGGACCAAGCCGTGATTAGAAGCTTGGGGTTTTCAGCCCTGCCGCCCATTCTGTTGAAGGGAGAAAGACTAAAAGTGGTGTTAATAATCTGTCACTCATGTGTGATGATTCATAAATCCCAAAAGTACGGGCTTCAGAGAGCTTCCAGGTCAGTGAGCAGGTGGAGGTGCTGCGGGAGTGGCATGCCTGGAGAGGACATGGAACTCCAGGCTCCTGCTCCGCTCCTCTGCAGTTCTCCCATTCGGCTGCTCATCTGTATCTTTTATCATGTTCTTTAATAAACTGCCAGGTCTAAGCGCTTCACTTGAGTTCTGTGAGCTGTCGGACACATTCAACAAGCCCAAGGAGGAGGATGGCCTCTCCTGTCAATAGCCATTGCTCAGAAGCACAGGGGACAACCTGGGCTTGGGGCCGGCATCTAAAGGATGTGTTACTGTATCTGTGAGAGGTGGGGGATCAGTGTTGTGGGAGTGAGGCCCTTCACCTGTGGGATCTGTTCCTAGCTCCAGGTAGACAAGTGCCAGAATGGAGTTAAAGTGTAGGACACGCAGCTGGCCTCAGAAGAGTATGGTTTGGTGTGGGGAGAAACCCCCACACTCTGGGTGAGCAGGGCTGCCAGGAGTGAAGTGTGGTGCCCTGTCCTGTGTAAAAGCCAAAGAGGCTGACAGGGAGCGGAGAGGTGAAGGAGGTGGATTTTTGCCTACACGGGAGGAGGGAAGCTGAGGTTCTTTCTCTCTTTACAGCTGCTGTGAGTGCCAGGCCACGGCCTAGACTTGATGGACTTGGTACTATGAACGTAAGCCAGTAACCTACCTGTGTTGCATAACTGTTATTTAGAGCTTTTCAAAAAATCTGTAACATGATGTAATGGCCCTTTCATGTTGGTATGCTCCTGGATTTTGTCTGTTGCCAATGTTACTGCCATCCTCATTGGGACATTCATTAATTACCATTCGGCAAACACTTGAGTACCTACTTTCTGCCAGTCGTTCGTCTGTCACTTAACTGCCTGGCCTCCTGGCCGTAATGTTAGCAGAGGATAAGTGAATCACACGACATTCTATTTTTGTTTTACTTTATTGTATTGTTGGGCTTACCTTGTGGCTCGGCTGGTAAAGAATCCGCCTGCAATGTGGGAGACCTGGGTTGGGAAGATCCCCTGGAGAAGGGAAAGGCTACCCACTCCTATATTCTGGCCTGGAGAATTCCATGGACTGTATAGTCCATGGGGTCGCAAAGAGTCAGACACAACTGAGCGACTTTCACTTCACTTCACTTCATTGTATTATTGGAGTATAGTTGACTTAACAGTATTGCATTGATTACGGCTGTACAGAAAAGTGATTCATTTATACATACATATACAGTCTTTTTCATATTCTTTCCCACATATCCAGTATCATAGGATATTGAACATAGTTCCCTGTGCTGTACAGTAGGATCTTGTTGCTTATCCATGCTGTATATAATATTTAGATCACAAGATACTCTAAACCACCTGCAGAGTAGCTCATCCTGAAGATGATAGGTGATCCAAGGTTGTAGATTCTAAGGCAGTGGTGTCTAGTGTAACTCTGTGATGATGGAAATGTCTGAATCTGTGTTTTCTGATATGGTAGCCACTAGCCACATGGGGTTATTGAACACTTCGGATGTAGTTGGTGTGAGGAACTGAGATTACAGTTTAAATAGCTACATGATTTTTGGCTACTACCTGCCACATTGAACAGCACAGATCTCAGTAAATAGCTACTGTCTGTAGTGTAACTATTTCAGGAAGGAATTAGGGGCTATAAGGGGTTTTTAAATAATCCACTTATATCTAGGTATGTATATTATTAAAAATAGCTTTTCACTTTTAAACTCTCTCTTTGAATCTTTCTAGTTCAGAAAGACGTCTGGTCAACGTATACCAGCTTCACCCAGCCTCCTAATAAAATCCCTGAAAGTAAGAAAAACTGTTGTTGCAGACACGTCAGGTATCCTAGTGGCATAATTTGGATTAAACTCTTGGCTAACAGTAAAACAGCTACTGTTAAAACGAAATGATTTTAAAATTGGTGACTTCCAATTAAGAAATTGTTATTGTTCAGTTGCTAAGCTGTGTCCAATGCTTTGAGACCCCATGGACTGCAACACGCCAGGCTCCCCTGTCCTCTTTCTCCCGAAGTTGGCTCAGACTCATGTCCGTTGAATCAGTGATGCCATCCAACCATCTCATCCTCTGTCGCTCCCTTCTCCTTTTGCCTTCAATCTTTCCCAGCATCAGGGTCTTTTCCAGTGAGTCGGCTCTTCACATCAGGTGGCCAAAGTACTGGAGCTTCGGCATCAAGAAATTGAGACCATGAAAAAACATGTAGGAAGATGTTTTGTACCTGACAGTTGTGTATTTCCTGACAGAGATCTTTGGTCTTATCTAACTGTGTTTATACTTTGAGGATGTGGATCTGTTGGATGGTTTTGGTACTTTCCCCTAGATTCCACTCACACATCCTTCCCACACCTAATTTTTTCTTTCAGAGATAAATGGTACCCAGAAAATAGCTGGGTGGATAATCTGGACACTGGCTCTTCTTTCTGAAAGTTAAAATCCTTACCTGTGATTGACAAAAGAATAGATCAGCGGGGCAGAATAGAGAACCCCAAAATAGGTCTATACAAACATAGTCGACTAGTTTTTGACAAAGGAAAAAGCAATTTAGTGGAGGAAACTTAGACTTTTTCAACAAGTGATGCTGGAGCAATTGGACATGCATATGCACAAAAGTGAACTTGGACACAGACCTTACACCTTACACAAAAATTAACTGAAAATGAATCATATATCTAAATGTAAAACACAAAACGATATAACTTCTGGAAGAAAACATTAGGAGAAAATCTTTGTGACCTGGGTTTTGGTGATGAGATATAAACATCAAAAGAATGATTAAATGAAAGAAAAAAATAGACTAGTTAGAGTTTGTTAAAATTTAAAAATGCCTTTCTATGAGAGTGAAGACAAATTACAGACAGGGGAGGGTATTGGCAAAAGACATCCCATAAAGGAGTTGTGTCAAAAATATACAAAGAACTCTGAAAACTCAACAATGAAGACACAAGTCAGTTGAAAAATGAGCAAAGAGTCTGAATAGGTAGCTCTCCAAAGAAGATAAGCAGATGGCAAGTAAGCATATCAAAAGGTGCTCCGTGTTATTTGTTATGAGACATGGAAGTTCAAACAGAAATGAGATAACACTTCTCACCTATTGGAATGGCTAAGATCCAGCTCACCTATGACACTAAATGCTGGAAGCATGTGGAGTAACAGATGCTCTCACTCATTGCTGGTGGAAATACAAAATGGTATAGCCGCTTGTGGGGGGTGGGGGGAGTAGTTTGGTGGTAAAACTAAACATAGTCTTACTGGATGATCCACCAGTCCTTGTCCTAGGTATTTACCCAAGTGACTTAAACTGTATGTGAATGTTTATAGCAACTTTATTTACAGTTGCCAGAAATTGGGAACAAACAAGATGTCTTTTGGTGGGTGAATGGATAAACAGGCTTTGGTACATCCCAACAGGGAAATACTATTCAGCTAAAAGGAGTGAGCTATCAAGCCATGAAGCTTGATAGCTTGATAGCACTATCAAGCAGAGAGAGAAATGAATCACAACTCTGTGTTCTTAATATAAGAAGCCCCTCTGAAAAGGCTACATGGTCTATGATTCCATATATGTGACATCCTGGGAAAGGTAAAGCTATAGAGGTGGTCAGCACACCTGACCACCTTGTTGCTAGGTGGTTGCTAAGGATGTGGACGGAAGGGGAAGCAGGTTGAAGAGGGGAAGCATAGGATGTTTTTTAGGGTGGTGAAAGTGTTCTTAAATTACTGTAATGGTAGAATACATGGCACTAGACATTTATCAAATCCTGTACAGCTTTACAAAGAGTGAGCCTTCATGTATGCAAGGGTAGGAGGTCAGGTGACCTCAGGATTAAATGCTGATTGTGACAAAACAATGTAACCATAGTAACCTCACTGAAGGGAGTGGGGAAAAATCTGCCTACCTGTCTAGCTCTGGAGAGGGATGAAGACTGTGACTGAAGGCATAGGCTATATAGTCATGGTGAGAGTTACTTTTCATGGGGGTGTTTGTTGACAGTTTTGAAACCGTTATATGTGTGGGCTGGAGTTGAACAATACAGTAAGGGAATAGGAGATGGTGGGAGCCAGGTGGGAACTTAGAGATAAACAGGAGGAGGCTAAGATTCATATGGTAATGGTGGCATTGGAGAAATCTGTATGAACTCATGTTTAGCTTAACATAGATATGGATGAGACATAGAGATATTTATAAATAAGTATTTATACATATGGAGAAGGCAATGGCAACTCACTCCAGTACTCTTGCCTGGAAAATCCCACGGATGGAGGAGCCTGGTAGGCTACAGTCCATGGGGTCGCTAAGAGTCAGACACGACTGAGCGACTTCACTTGCACTTTTCACTTTCATGCATTGGAGAAGGAAATGGCAACCCACTCCAGTGTTCTTGCCTGGAGATTCCCAGGAATGGGGGAGCCTGGTGGGCTGCCGTCTGTGGGGTCGCACAGAGTCGGACATGACTGAAATGACTTAGCAGCAGCAGCATGTATACATAGGTTAGTGTACATTCATATTTCCTTACTCTGCAGGCTGAGGGGCTAGAAGCAGTGACATCCCAGTCGCAATGAGCACACCTCAAGCCCAGTCTGCAGTGCTAAGATTCAGTTTCTAAAACCATTCCATGATAATTGGAACCAGGGCTCCTTGGAGCAGTAGTTGATTCACAGAATGGAGCAGAGACTAGCCAAGATAATGAGCCTGGAGCCCCTTACAGTGCTAGAGCCTAAGGAAGTACTTAAGAAAAAAATGATGACAGTGCCCCCAAAGCTAGAACAGTTGGAGCAACAAAATAGAAGATTGGGTTATATATATGAGTTACAGAATTACCTATGAATTATAATTACCAAAGTATAAGGTAGGGGATTCATACTCATATAAAGAAATGAGTGGATAGAGGAGGAGATTAGCCATATCCTTCTTAGGGGGGTTGTGGAGGAGGGAGGGGGGAAGTGGAATTAAGTAGGGGTCTAGGGGCCTGTGGAAAGCCCTGCAGAACTGACAGTGTTAGAAATGCTGAGATGGAAGAGCTCATGTCTGGAGATGACCTGCTGCAGGATCTTAAAGATTTATGCCAAATGTTGACCTTTTTCCATTGAGAGAGCCAAGATCTGGTCCCAGCGTGACAGGCAGGGGATGAGGTGAGAGGCTCACAGGAAGTGGTCAGGAGAAGAGGGTGGATGAGAGAGAAGAGTTACAAGGCAGTGAATATGAAAGAAAAGTTTGTATGTCCAGTGGGGAAAGTAAAAAACAATACATTGTGTGACATCACTTATGTGGAATCTAAAATTTGTCACAACTGAACCTATCAAGGAAACAGAAACAGCCTCACAGACCTAGAGAACAGACTTGTGATTGCCAAAGGGGAGGAGGTTGGGGTTAGCAGAGGTAAGCTTTACATACGGAATGGATAAACAACAAGGTCCTACTGTATAGCACAGAGAACCATATTCAGTATCCTATGATAAATCACAATGGAAAAGAGTATTCTTTAAAAAGTGTATATATGTAAAACAGAATCACTTTGCTGTACAGAGGAAAGTAACATTGTCAATCAACCACAGTTAAAAAGATCTAGTATATTATAACATCTTCAGCAGTAAAGGACAAAAAGGCCCTTGGCTGATGCAGAAATCCAGTCATATGTTCTAAGAAAGTGAAAACTTATAAAATTTATACTCATGACTTAAAAAAAAAACCCAAAAACAAGTTTCAGGGAATTCTTTGGTGGTCCATCAGTTAGGACTCCATCCTTCCATTGCTGGGGACCTAGGTTCGATTTCTGGTTAGGAACCTAAGATCCTACAAACCACGTGGCACAGCTAAAAAGAATAAAAAAGTTTCAAACTATTCAGAAAGGTATAAAGTAAAAGAAAAACAGAAACTTCTGTTCATATTCTCTAATTTTACTTTCTGCTGATAACTAGAATGAAGAGTGTCTTGCGTATCCTACCAGCATTTAGTTTATGGGGGTCAAAGTCTATATGTAATTAAACCACATATGTTCATAAATGGGATCATATTATACTGTTGTGCAATTTGCTTCCTTTATCCAGCAATAAATTTTTATCAGTGTACTAAGACTAATTATGTTTAAAGAATGTATTTAATTATCCCCATGTTGATCAAGATTTTATTATTTGGTGTTTGCCATTAGAAGCATGTGGTGTGCAGTGCTACACCCTTTTGAGAAAGTGTAGTTGTGTAAATTCAGAGAGGTAGAATGACTGGGTTAAAGGGTTTTTGAATACTTGGATTTTGAATATCCATAAACTGACCAATTTCCCTCCCAAGTGAAAGAGCACGCCTGCTTCCCTGCTCCGTTGCCAACACTTAAAGTGCTAAAGATGAAAACTTTGATAATAAGTGTATTGGGAAAATATAATCTTTCTTTTGTAGTATTAATTTGCATTTATTTTTATTTTGTTCATGTTTATTTAACACTGAAAATTTTTTCTGTAAACTTTGTCCATATCTTGCTCTATTTTTCTGTTTTCTTACTGATTTTTAAAAGCTCTTTATACTATGAAAATTAGTCCTGTCTCCATATTATGGCAAATACTTGTTTCCAGTATATCATTTGTCTTTTGACTTTGTTATTTCATGCCTTATATAAGTTCTTAATTTTCATGTTTGATGTCCTACTTGGAAAGGCCTTTCCTCAGAAATTACTCTTAAAAGATACATGATGTGAAAAAGATGATGCTATAAAACCAAGACTGCATAAACAGTGATTGAGCAATGGTTGAATGAAAGAAAGTTGTGAAACAAAACTGTATACATTGTGTCTTTCAGGATTTCTTATGCAATTTCTGAAAGAACTGGCAGAATATCATCAGAATAAAGAAAGTTGCAATATGGAAACCCAGACAAGTTCAACATTTCCCGTCAAAGACTCTCTTGGTAATTGTGATCCTCTTCCATAATTATACTTCTTCCATTTTCTTTTTTCAGTGAAGGCAACAGCCTGATGTACTGTAATATGTATTTGTTGCTTCACTAAGAGGGTTGCAGGCTGCTGGTAGCATGTTTTCTGGAATCATTACTCATTTTTTCTCAGAAGGACCAGGAACTCCTCTCCAGGGCTGCTCCTTCCTTCCTGACCACCAGGGCTATGCTTTCCACCTCTCATGGGGATCCAGAGGCTCACTTCCTTCCTTGTTTGTTGGGTTGAAGCTCTCTTGACTGGGAGGTTCTTCCCTTTGTCTCATCTGACTTTATGTTATAGCCACTAAAGTGGGAAGATCTCAGACTACTTGCATTGCAGGGAACTAGACAAGTCAGTGGGCCATCCTTTCATTTTACAGTTGACAAAACTAAGATCATTTGAGGAAGAACAACTAGGCAATGCCTTGTCTGGGTCAGAACTGATACCAGAGTCCAAGTTTTCTGGTCCATGACCCAGAGCCTTTTCTACTGTACAGGCTTCTGTAGAATACAGAAAAGTAGATGGAAAACCATACCTAACATTTTGCTGATCAGAGACATCACTGCCAATATTTTACTCTCTGATGACTCAAGCGATCAAGAATCCTCCTGCAGTACAGAAGACCTGGGTTCAATCCCTGGGTTGGGAAGATCCCCTGGAGAAGGGAATGGCAACCCACTCCAGCATTCTTGTCTGGAGAAGCCTCATGGACAGAGGAGCCTGGCACGCCCTAGTCCATGAGTCAGACACAAATGAGCACACATATTTTAGTCTGCTTCTGCCAGCCATTTTTTCCTCTGCCTGCTTTTTGGTGATATTGGTGTCACACATGATTAAGACTATATGAGAGGGCCAGGTTTGCGGTGTGCTTCCTTGTTGGTTTCAAATCCACAGTTGGTTTGAGGGCTGGGGGTCTCCTGGAAAGACTGCTGGGACGTGAGACAATCATAGACCTGGCCTTAGCCCCATTGATGCCATTATGTAGCTGTTTAGCCCTCTGGAAGTCCCTTCAACTAGATGGGCATCAGTTTCCTCCTCTGTGAAGTGGAGGAAGTGAAACACGTGGTCTTTGATTCCTCTTAGGGTCAGTGTTTTGAAAGCATGAGTCAGCTCTAAGCAAAGTGCAGTGAAAGAGCCCTCCTGTGGCACATAGACACTAGAAAGGGATGCCACTGTTTTTTGACTTAAAGTATACTTTTTGTTTTCTTTTCCCCTGCTATTTTATATTTTAGATAGGATTTGCAAACTTTCAGAACAGTTGAAAGCTTTATGGCGAACACTTGCGCACCTCGAATCTGCCATGAAATTTGTTATACTTGCTTAATCACTTACCTGTCTGTCCATTAAGCTCTCTCGCTTTTTGGATACATTTGTATTAATAAGTAAATGGCAGACGTCCTTAACACTGTCTCCTAAGTATACGCTGTGTTTGAGCAGAGCTCTGGCCGTTTGCTCACCTGCCTTTGTCTCTCTGACCTCATTTTCTGTGTTATTTTTTGGTAGCGGAGAAGCTTCAGCTTATTGACAATGAGTTTGCCGGTGCTTGCCCTCAGCAGCCAAAGTTAGAATCCTTAGAAGTCAAGTTAAACGAATATAAGAGGGAAATAGAACAGCAGCTACGGGCAGAAATGAGTCAGAAGGTAAGGTTTATCTTGTTATCATTAAGAGTGATGTTTTTGTTTGTCTTTTAATGTCTTCACTTTCGGTATATGGGGAAATCACTACAATCTTTACTAATGAATGTGATAATATACTGTTGTGCATACTATTTCTCTTGCCAGATGATGTCAGTTCTTTATGACTTTTGAATACACCCTGTAAGTGTAGTGAATGAGATGAAACATGAACATGAATTAAACTAAATATATTTAGATAGCGTTAATGATAAAGCTAACAGTGAAGAGAGAATTTGTTACTGTTTCTTTACTATAGTTATTGGTATTTACAATTTTTTGTCATCAATTGGCAGTTGAAATACTTTAAAGATACTGAAATAGTGAAAGTTAAAATGGAGGAGAAAAGGAAGTGTGAGGAGGAGTTTGCTGAGTTGCGGAATGAATTTGAGAGAAATTGTCAAGCAAAATCTGAAGCCCTGATGTCTCAGGAAAAGATAACCCTTGAGAGAATTCAAAAGCACCAGGAGGTAACATTCTAAAATCATTTGCTGGGGGTGGGGGGTGGCATTTCGGGCTATCTCTTGAGTAGGGCCCAGAGTCAAGAGCTCAAGGGAAAGCATAGGACTTGGAAAGGATATACTGGCATCCTTTGTCCGAGACAGCTGGAGGGAATGGACTGCAAATGGGCTGGTCCACACTGGGAGTGGGAAAAACTTGCACCAAAGCAGCAGCAGCTGTGAGGTTTGGTTAACAGCAGGGAGGAGAAGATCAGAGGTGTGAAGTAGCTGCCTTCACTAGAGGAAATGAAACCCTGGAAAGCAGACACAGTTGCTGAGCTGTGTCAAGGGCTCAGCCAGGGCAGGCAGCCTGGGCCGGCAGTAGACCAAGTCCAGGGCTTCCAGGTGACGGCCCCAGTGCAGCTCTCAGGAGGGTGTGTAGTGTCGGCAAGGCTGGAGGAATGGAGTTGCTCAGGGAGATGAACTTGAGAGAGCTGAATCTCCTTGGCTTCAGAAAGGCAGCCCATTTCATGGAAGACACTGGGGTCAGGCAGGGTGGGGAAGGGAGCTCAAGATGGCAGGTGGCCACTAATATAAAGCATCAGGGACGGTGACATGGCTGCCTGAAAGACACTGAGAAGCAGGTCTGGGGATTCTGATGGGTGGAAGAAGAAGATGGGTCAAGAGGACAGAGTTGCAGGTAGGGGTTTGAGGTCAAGAATGGAAGCAAAATGCAACGTGCGGCCATGGGTACAGAGGTGAGGTCCCCAGGGTGGAGGCATCCAGGGCTGCCACGTGGCCGTGTGATCCTGTACATCAGAATGGTGGCTGGACAGGAGGTAGAGAGGTTGCCCAGTGGCAGGAGTGGGTGTGGGGAGAGATTGGATACATTGCTTTAGGAAAAGCAGGTTCCTTTGTTAAGGTCGTGTCTTAGACCAGACTGCATCTGGGGCCCTGCATCCTGTGGACAGCTGGGGCTTCTGTCAGGAAGTTGTGTTGAAAGTAAGAGACTTCCTCCCAGCGTCCACCCTTGCTTGGAGCTTCTCAAAAAGACTCAGGTATTGAATGGTAATTGCACCGCCTCTACAAGTTTTGTATAAGCAGTTCTGAGAATTGGCCTCACTTAGAATGGGAAAAACTAGAGATCTCTTCAAGAAAATTGGAGACACCAAGGGAACATTTCATGCAGAGATGGGCACAATAAAGACAGAAACAGCAAGGACCTAACAGAAGCAGAAGAGGTGGCAAGAATACAGAGAAGAACTGTACAAAAAAGGTCTTAATGACCTGAATACCCACGATGGTGTGATCACTCACCTAGAGCCAGACATCCTGGAGTGTGAAGTCAAGTGGGACTTCGGAAGCACTACTACAAACAAAGCTAGTGGAAGTGATGGAATTCCAGTTGAGCTATTTCAAATCCTAAAAGATGATGCTGTGAAAGTGCTGCACTCAATATGTCAGCAAATCTGGAAAACTCAGCAATGGCTACAGGGCTGGAAGACATCAGTTTTCATTCCAGTCACAAAGAAAGGCAGTGCCAAAGAACGTTTAAACTACCATACAATTGTGCTTTTTTCACATGCTAGCAAGGTAATGCTCAAAATCCTTCAAGGTAGGCTTCAGAAGAACATGAACTGAGAAATTTCAGATGTACAAGCTGGATTTAGAAAAGGCAGAGCAACCAGAGATCAAATTGTCAACATCTGTTGGATCATATAAAAAGCAAGGGAATTCAAGAAAAACATCTATTTCTGCTTCACTGACTATGCTAAAGCCTTTGACTGTGTGTATCACAACAAACTGTGGAAGATTCTTCAAGAGATGGGAATGCCAGACCATCTTACCTGCCTCCTGAGAAACCTGTATGCAGATCAAGAAGCAACAGTTAGAATTGGACATGGAGCAACAGACTGGTTGCAAATTGGGAAAGGAGTACAACAAGGCTGTATATTGTCACCCTGCTTATTTAGCTTCTGTGCAAAGTGCATCATGCAAAATGTTGGACTAGATGAATTACAAACTGGAATCAAGATTGCTGGAAGAAATGCCAATAACCTCAGATATACAGATGACACCACCCTTATGGCAGAAAGTGAAGAGGAGCTAAAGAGCCTGTTGATGAAAGTGACAGAGGGGAGTGAAAAAGCTGACTTAAAACTTAACAGTCAGAAAGCAAAGATCATGGCATCTGATCTCATCACTTCATGGCAAATTAGATGGGGAAAAAGTGAAAGCAGTGACAGAAACTATTTTCTTGAGCTCCAAAATCACTAGATGGTGACTGCAGCCATCAAATTAAAAGACACATGCTCCTTGAAAGAATAGTTATGACAAACCTAGACAGTGTATTAAAAAGCAGAAATATCATTTTGTTGACAAAGGTCCCTATAGTCAAAGCTATGTTTTTCCAGTAGTCATGTATGGATGTGAGAATTGGACCATAAAGAAGACTGAGTGCTGAAGAATTGATGCTTTGGAATTGTGGTGTTGGAGAAGGCTCTTGAGAGTCCCTTGGACAGCAAGGAGATCAAACCAGTCATTCTTAAAGGAAATCAACCCTGAATATTCATTGCAAGGACTGATTCTGAAGCTGAAGCTCCAATACTTTGGCCGCCTGATCTGAAGAGCTGACTCACTGGAAAAGACCCTGATGCTGGGAAAGATTGAGGGCAGAAGGAAAGGGGCGAGACAGATGATGAGATGATTTGATGTCATCACTGATTCATTGGTGAGTTTGAGCAAGCTCCGGGAGATAGTAAAGAACAGTGAATCCTGGTGTGCTGCACTCCATGGGATTCACAAAGATTCGGACACGATGTAGTGACTGAACAACAACAAGCTGTAAAATAAATGTTGGAGGGACAGGTGTTTGTGAGGCTTGGATTGTGTTTATACTAACAATATCATCTGTTTTTCTTAACTTTAAAAAATTTTTATTACAGAAAGGTTTTCACATAGTTGGATATTTCTCTACTCTGTACTCAGTTATTCTTGCTCTCCATAGAAAAGCTTCTTAACTTCTCAACTGGTGATGGCAAACACTAGAATCCTGTTTTTAACAGCATTGTAGTAAAAATGCCTCAGTGATTTAAGTTGAAAGCAGTATATTGGTACATGGCTGTTGTGCTCATTTATCAAGAATGTACAACTGTCTTTATTCAAAAATACAAAATAAATTATCTGTAGGCATGGACAGTGGCAGCAACAAACCATTTCATTATCAACTGAAACCAGTAACTGATGGTTTTAATTATTTTCTTAAACAGCCAGCCTTTTCTTCAGTCATCTTCAACTTAACCTCACCTGGAGTTACTCGTGAGGAACACTGTCTTGAGCTTCTTCTCATAGTCCATTAATAATGGCAAAGCAGTATTTTAGGAAAAATATGGGCCACTGCACAAATTTGCCTGTCATCCTTGCACAGGGGCCATGCTAATCTTCTCTATCATTCTACTTTTAGTATATGTGCTGCCAAAGCGAGCACTAACAGTGTCATCTTGAAGACAGGTGATGAAGTCAGAAAGACAAATATACTATTCAGTTCAGTTCAGCCACTCAGTCGTGTCCAACTCTTTATGACCCCATGGACTGCAGCATGCCAGTCCATGCTCCCTGTCCATCAGCAGCTCCCAGAGTTTACCCAAACTCATGTCCATCGAGTCAGTGATGCCATCCACCATCTCATCCTCTGTTGTCCCCTTCTCTTCCTGCCTTCAGTCATGCCCAGAATCAGGGTCTTTTCCAATGAGTCAGTTCTTCACATCAGGTGGCTAAAGTATTGGAGTTTCAGGTTCAGCATCAGTCCTTCCAATGAATATTCAGGACTGATTTCCTTTAGGATGGACTGGTTGGATCTCCTTGCAGTCCAAGGGACTCTCAAAAGTTTTCTTCAAAACCACAGTCCAAAAGCATCAATTCTTTGGCGCTCAACTTTCTTTATAGTCTGACTCTCATGTCCATACCATGACTACTGGAAAAACCATAGCTTTTGACTAAGTGGACATTTGTTGGCAAAGTAATATCTCTATTTCTTAATATGCTGTCTAGATTAGTCATAACTTTCCTTCCAAGGAGTAAGCATCTTTNCAATTTGATCTCTGGTTCCTCTGCCTTTTCTAAAACCAGCTTGGACATCTGGAAGTTCTTGGTTCACATATTGCTGAATCCTGGCTTGGATAATTTTGAGCATTACTTTACTAGCGTGTGAGATGAGTGCAATTGTGCGGTAGTTTGAGCATTCTTTGGCATTGCCTTTCTTAGGGATTGGAATGAAAACTGACCTTTTCCAGTCCTGTGGCCACTGCTGAGTTGTCCAAATTCAGAAAGACAAATACACCATATGATATCACTTAAGTGAGGAGTCCTAAATATGACACAAATGTACATATCTGTGAAACACACTCACAGACACAGAGAACAGACTTATTGTTGCCATGGGGGAAGGGTGTGGAGGAGGGATGGATTGGGAGTTTGGGATTAGCAGATGGGAACTATTATATACAGGATGGATAAACAACAGGGTCCTACAGCATGGGACAGGGAACCATATTCAGTATCCTGTGATAAACCATAATGGAAAAGAATATAACAAAGATATATTTGTATACCTGAGTTACTACTGTACAGCAGAAAATAGCATTGTAAATCAACTATACTTCAGTAACATTAAAAAAAAAAAAGACAACTGACTAGATCAACCAGTTCACAGACTCGAACCCTGGTTTATTCAACTGATCTCTGAAGGCTCTTGAGAAGGTTGTGGTTTGTGAAGAGCACCATGCCTTTATTCCCCCACCTGGAATGCCCCTCCCCTTCTTGGCCTGATAAAACCATCCAGCCCTTCAAAATCCAGCTGGAATGCCAGGTCCTCATGATGCCTCTCCTGAGCCCCCACTGATTGACTCCTCTAGGACTCATTCGTCCCATGGAGTCTTTTTTTTTTTTCTTTTTCTTTTTTTTTTCATTTATTTTTATTAGTTGGAGGCTAATTACTTTACAACATTGCACTGGTTTTTGTCATACATTGAAATGAATTAGCCATGGATTTACATGTATTCCCCATCCGTCCCATGGAGTCTTGATGTACTTTGTGAAATCATCACGCTGTAGTGTAACTCTTGGTTTGTCTCTCTCTCCCTGAATAAACTGAGTTGTTTTTTTTAAGGTGGAGACTGACCTGTATCTGTCCATCTTTGTGTACCCAGCACCCAGTGTGGCCTTGAACACGTGATAGGTGTTCAGGGAACACATACATGGAAGTGTGGCCATTCATTCGGGCCATCATCTTTTAAGTTTTATTTTATTGCTGAATGAACATTTTGTTTCATTTTTTCTTGCTGTAGAACTTAAGGAAGTTTTTTTAAGTGTCTGAGAGATGTTAATGACAAAGTAATTATACACAAGGGGTGCTGGAAATACAGGGTAATGTAACTTAACAGTCCTTGAGGGAGGAGGGGAATCAATTTTTGTGAGGATAAAAAGGCAAAACATATACCTTGCATCGGAACCTCTTGAAATTTGTTCTTCTAAATGTCCACCCTTTGTTTTCTAGAATTTAGGAGCAATGTATTATTTCAAATCTCCTTTGTCTTCTTTAGCTTGCTTGGTAAAAATTAATGCTTTCTCCTACAGAATGAAACAAAAGAAATCTATGCTCAAAGGCAGCTTCTACTAAAAGACATAGATTTGCTGAGAGGCAGAGAAGCCGAGCTGAAGCAAAGAATTGAAGCCTTTGAATTGTAAGTAAAATGTGTCCATTTTGGACTTTCAGAATGAACGAGAAGAAAAAGAACTACTAAATATGTCTACATATTCTAATACTACACAATAGAGTTCTTGGTTGTAAAGGTGATATCACCTAGCTTCAAAGGCACACTTTAGGAGAAATGAGGATGAGTATTTTTTTTTAATATTAGACACTGGGATGAAAGTGGAAGGAAATGCCATCATCAGGCTACAGTGGGACCAGACAAATAATTTGGAGAAGCAAATAATGCTTTAACAGATCATACGTTTCCCATTTATGTCAGCCATTCAGATCTCAGTTCCGTGTGCATGCAGTAACTGAGTTCCGGACAGCCGGACCTGCCAGGCTGACCTGCTCTGCTGGCAAAAAAGGGCAACACGGTGGCTCTGAGTTGACTTGTACTGGGAGAAACTGTTTCTTGTAATGTGTGTGTTGCCTTTTTCTAAACATTCTCCAGTCTTTCATTCTTCACATCTTACCTAGGATACGTAGCAAGCTCAGCATTGTATAGTTTATGGAATAAGCCTTCTTTCCCATTTGGTATCTGCCATTATTCAGCACTCACAGGTACTCCAGGAATCTTCTTTCCTTAAAAGATTTGTCTTTGTTTTCATGAATGTTGTTTTCACATTTATATAGGCTAGGTTTGTTTGATTTCTTCTGTCTGCCAACCTTACTCTTTTGAGCAGTACTCAAGAGGTAAATTGACCATAAGAGAGAAAAGGAAACCAATTTTGGCACTGATAGTTAATGATTATGTAATCACTTATTTATCTCCATTTTCCCTCCTCCTCCTTTCTAAGCATACTGAAAGTGAACGTATTAGTCATCAGTCGTGTCCGACTCTTTGTGACCCCATGGATTGTAGCCCACCAGACTCCTCTGTCCATGGAATTCTCCAGGCAGGGATACTGTAGTGAGTTTCTATTTCCTTCTCCAAGGGATCTTCCCAACCAGGGATCAATTCCAGGTCTCCTGCATCACAGGCGGATTGTCTACCATCTGAGCCATCAGGGAAGCATATCATATAAGCTAAATACTTCTCCTTTGTTTTACAGATTAACCAGCAGAGGGCGCTAACACACAGACGTTTTATCCTTTGCTTGGAATAGTCTCTGTTCCCTAGCACTTCTGGTTTTAGCTTGATCTGAGTCCCTGTGAACCCAGTTCCCTGGCTCTGGAATTGATTTTGTGCTTGACTTGAGGTTTTACTATCAAGACCATTCCTTTCTTCGGTGTTGGGACGTTCTGATTGATCCATCTATCTTTTGCTCTCTTTTCAGTATTCTCTCTTCAGTATTGATTTAGTTCACTGATATTGAACTAGTAGATTATGAAAGGCCAGAACAAATTTTATGTCTTTAATAGCTATGGGCTAGTCAGTTAGAAACAGTATTATAAAAGAAACAAGCACTTGAATATGCTAACTGAAGTGTGTGTGTAGCTTTGTAACTTAAAATAGTAATCTTTTACCCCTGAATTGATTATGGCCACTTACCACTTGTGACCATTTTTTTAAAGTGTGAACCATCTCCTGTGAGACACTACTTTGGTTTTGGCATTTTCTCACTCGCCTCAGCCAGAGAACTATTGAGTTCTGTCTATAGTTCAGATCTGTCATCACTAGATCAGCTCCTAAAATAGTGGGACACTCCTAGCCCTTTGTTTTTACTCTCTAGCCATGACAGTCACAGAACAGTTTGAGGCTGTGGGGCTAAAAACACATGGTGTCTTTTCCCCAATATTAATATTTTTCAATTTTGCCTTATCTGTTTTTTGCTAATTTCAGGGCCCAGAGGCTGCAAGAAGAAAAAAATAAAAGCATGACTGATGGACTGAGGAGACGGGAGTTGAATATAAAGAGCATTGAGGAGACCTATGACCGAAAGCTCAAGAACGAACTTCTAAAGTAATTGTTTGGCATCTTTAAAAGAAAAAGTATCGTGTTTGAATTAAGTTGATGGAAACACAGCAACACTAATAAAGTAGATAAGACTAGTATTTTATGGCACAATCCAGTGTTTAAAAAAATGCACATGTTCATTGACAGTCAAGCTTTTCCTGTGAATATTCGAGTTAGGATGGTTTTAAAAAGATATAGTACAGGAAATAGCATCCTCTGCTTGTTCTTGTCACTTCTGGAGTATTTATTGAGGGCCTATGATTTGTTTGAATTTCTTAGGGCACCTTGTAACTTGTTGAGAAGCTATAAAATGGGGATTATAGTCACTTTTTATGTTTTCCTCTACCCTACTCATACTGCCATTCAGATGGAACATCTAATGATCTGTAAATTATTCTGCTAATTTGTTATAGTATTTGTTGATCCGTATTCCTTCAAGAGTCTGTAAAGCCAGAATCAAAGGAACAAACTAGAATTAAGTGTATAAAGCAAAAAACAATAGAGGGAAAGGAAAATATGTACAGCTCTGTTACCACGGCTCTCCTCTAGTCTGAGTTTTGTTGTGTTCTAGTGGATAGTATCTTAGTGCAGAGGCATTAAGTGCATATGTGGTAAGTTTGTTCTCCAGTGCTCAGTGTGATGTCTGGTGCAAAGTAAGTGTTCACTTAATGTTTATTGATGCAGTGAGTTTATAGTGAAGTGATGACTCAACACAGCAGCTCTCGATGTTTCTTCATCATTGGCCTCTCTCTACTGCTTTGTCCATAATTTGTCATTGATAGTCCATGATATAGTACCTTCAAAGGTTTTTGGAGGTTATTCTTTAAAATAATTCTAATAAAAAATATAGCACTTTTCTGTGGATCAGTTTTGACGTGGTAGATTTTTATCCACATATTTTATGGATTTGTCTACGTATTGTAGAGATAAGCTCTATAAAGAATCCAATAAAGTTTTAGGAATAAGTGAATAAAAGTGTGTATGTTAGCTTGATACAGCTATGGAGTGGAATTCTCAGGTATCTTTGTCCATGGGTGTCCTCATATGACTTTGGCAGGTGTTGAGGTTCTGAGGGTATTCACCACAGGAGTACTTCTTTCCTTTTTCTAATCTTTGAACCAGAAAGTCAGCTGCTAACAGCTGGTGGAGATGGTAAAATTTCATGAAAATGTGACTCTGGTATCACCAGTCCGAATATATTTGCTGTTGACAGTAGCTCTTGGTACTACTTTTCAGCTCCATAGGGCAAAAGGTCTTATCCTGCCTGAGGGTGGGAAGGCAGGACAGGTGGATTGGAAGTGACTGACTTGTTATCCTTTGGGATTTAGAGTCTGCTGTATACAGTATAAAGTAAGTATTTGTGTCACTGGATGCCAACTGAGAAACAGTGCCCTCTATAGCCTCAATAACATGACCCTTCATATTGTGCTTGAGTTTTGGGGCCCAGTTTATAGAACTGCAGCAAGACTTTAGTGGACTTTTTATAGCCAGAATGTGGACCCCTGGCCTTAGCACTGAGTGCTCCTGAAGTTCATGCGTTGTCCTGTTTAGTACCCTTCAGTGCCCTGACGCCATCATTATTAGCAGTCTGTCTAGGGAAGTGACCAGGAACTCATTTTCCATCCTTCTGATTCTCAGGTATCAACTTGAACTGAAGGATGACTACATCACTAGAACCAGGAGACTGATCGAAGATGAAAGGAGAAATAAAGGTGATTTTGGGGGCAGGGCAGGGCAGGAAGCTGTATTTTTCAGTTTCAACACAGGTTATTAGCTTCTTAAGTTGGGTCTGTTCTTTAATCCAAAAAATATGTACCTTCCACTTCATTGTTACTATTAACTGACATAGATTTTGTCCTTTTAATTTATTGTTTCTTGTTTAACTTTTTGTATATTCACAAAGATCAGTGATTTATTGGTAGAATTTTATTCAACTGTATTTCAGTAAATCTTGATGAATAAATCTGTGATGTCAAGAAGGTGGCAGCAGCTTACTGCTATTGGTTAATACTACTCTAAACCACGAGAGGTGTTATTTTTTACTTAGGAGAAATTTTATTTTAACTTTTCTGTACCTCGTGACCTGGTTTCTTATTTTTTTTTAACTTCTAACACATATTTATGCTTCATGATATTTTATTTTCACATATAGCCTCCTAAACTCTTGTATATATTACCCTGAAATGAGGAAAGTTGGGTAATTTATTGATCTTTCAGATATTTTACATTGCAATGTATTTCTAGGAACTATCCTTTGACAAGAGTTTTGGGTAGATATTTCAAATGGATTCGAAGGAGTAAACCAGGGCTGGGTACTTGCTCCTTATCAGAAGGTCACCAGGTGTGTGTGGCTGCTCCTTTGCACCTGTTGTGCTCAGACTAATATTAATACTTCTATAGGAATTGGTATTGCCATGTAGTTAGCTTGTGACTTTTTGATGATACATCTATATAGCCTTATATTAGATGAAGTGATAATGATAAAATAGTAACTATAAAATCTTACCAGAGCACTCTTTGTCTTTAAGGAAATTCAGAGCTGTTGGCATGAGGGCCCCGCATTCCATATGGGTGGTGTAACTCTGGTAACTTGTGTGTAGCAGGAAGTTCACCACATATATGACCGTTACAACTGACTTCACATCACCTATTGAGTAACAGAACTTACCTGCCTGTTAATTTTTTTTGACCCAGTATCTGCTGTTTTATATCTTTTTTTTTTTTGCCATGCCACAGGGCTTGTGAGATCTTAATTTCCTGATCAGTGATCAAACCTGCACTCTGGGCAGTGAAAGCATGGAGTATTAACAACTAGGCCACCAGGGAATTCCCTCTGCTAGTTTAGATGATGAAATAATGGTCATTAGGTCTGACATATTGGCTGTAAATGCTTAAATGACTTGTATTCACTGGGAAACCTTTATGATATTTAGTTGCTTGGCTTTGTCTTTCAGAGAAAGCTATACATTTGCAAGAGGAACTTTCAGCTCTTAGTTGTAAAAAGGAAGAACTTGATCGTTCTAGAAACCGTGTGAAAGAACTCGAGGTAATTGTTAATCATATTGATTTTTTTAAATAGATGTTAGACAACACAGGAAATTTTAACTTCAGTCACACATAATTTATCTCAAGTGATCCTTTGTATGTTTAGACTGTTTATTATATGATTCAGAGGGTGATGGCTGAACTTAATTCAGTAGCTCTTCATTTCAATCTTTGTCTCCTAGAGAAGCGTAGAAAGAGCATGTCCTTTGGGGCCCAGAGTCATCCATGAATCCTGTCTCCCTCACTGTTTGTGTGCCTGTGGGCAAGATCTGTGACCACAGATCTTGGAATATTGCCCACATCCCATGGTTTGTTCAGGGACTTCAGCTGGTTTCTCTGCCTTTCCATAGGTGACTGGCATGTACTAGTATCCGCTCAGCTTCTTTTCCCTTCCCCTCAGCACCAGGTAAAAGTTCCTGTCCCTACATTGGGATCTCACAGATTAAAGCAAAATGAGAGGCATTTTTCACATGATACTGTTAGTTTTTTTCTGTTCATTTCTGTGCTTGCTATCCATGCCCAGAACTGGACTTTCAGATACTTAAAATATTTTCTGTCTATAAGATTTGTTTTTGCAACTGTGATGAATTACTTGAGAACTTTATAGGCCCCTGTCTTCAAATGAGATATATCAGACTGAGGGAAGGAGAGCACTTCCCAGCACCTTAGTAGTATCTATCTCACCTTTTCATATTAAAAAAAACAGATACATTATTAACTCTGTGATGGCTTTTGGGTCCTTAGTTGCATCTGGAAAGTTGGGTGAGAATCTGAAGGACTTGTTGTGTAGGACAGGGTTCTGCATAAATTGAGTTGTATGAACTTGCCCCAGCTCCAAGACAGAAGTTGTTGTAGTTAGAGTCATCTTGTTACAGAGAAGCAGACCAGCGAACTGACTATAATTAAATTATGCCACAAAGCTGAGAGCAGACTGTCAGCATTTACCTACTCAGTCCTGAAGAGTCTCTGTTCAAATACAAGTTTTCCTTTTCCAATTCCAGCTTGAGTTGGAGTCTGTCAGAGCGCAGTGTTTGGCATTAACAGAGCAAAACCACATGCTAAGCGAGAAGGTTAAAGAGACGAGTGATTATTCTCTACTGAAAGAAGGAAAACTGGAGCTTCAGGCACAAAATAAACTACTTAAACAACAAATGGAAGACATGAAAAGTGAAAACATGCATATCCTAAACCGTAAGTCTTTTTTTTAATATGATTTGTAATTCATGTTAGGTTCATGTTAGGAAATTGCTTTTTTTTGGCTACACCATGAGAATGTGGGATCTTAGTTCCCAAACCAGGGATCAAACCTGTGCCCCCTGCAGTGAAAGTGCAGAGCCCTAACTACTAGACCACCAGGGAAGTCCCAGGAAACTGCTCTAGGGGAGGCTTCAGTTGGGAAGGTTTTATAAAATTAAAATTCTCAGATTGAAATTCTTTCTTTTTTGCTTGCTATTCCATAATTCATAGTGTCTGTAAGAATAAACATTTTTTAATTTAATTTTTATTTTAGATTAGAGTATGGTTGATTTACAGCATTGTGTTTCAGGTGTAGAGCAAAGGGATTCTGTTATACATATACACATATTCATTCTTTCTCAGCTTCTTTTCCCATGTAGGTCATTACAGGTTATTGAGTCGAGTTCCCTGTGCTGTACAGTCGGTCCTTATTATCTATTTCATATGTGGTAGTATGTGTCTGTTAATCCAAAACTCCTAATTTTATTCTTCCCCCTGCCTTTCCCCTAGGCTAACCATAAACTTGTTTTTGAAGTCTGTGTAGTCTGTTGTGTTTTGTAAATAAGTTCATTTGTATCACTTTTTAGATTCCACATATAAGTGATATGGTAAGATATTTGTCTTTTTCTGTGACTTGGCCTCACTTGGTATGGTGTTCTCTAGTTGCATACTTGTTGCTGCAAATGGCATTATTTATTTTTTGTGGCTGAGCAGTATTCCATTGTGTATATGTACCACATCTTCTTTATCCATTCATTTGTCCATGGACATTTGGTTGCTTCTATGTTTTGGCTATTGTAAATAGTGCTGCAGTGAACATTGGGGTGTGTATATCTTTTCAAAGTATGGTTTTCTCCAGATATGTGCCTAGCAGTGGGATTGCTGGATCACATGGTAGTTCTATTTTTAGTTTTTTGAGAAACCTCCATACTGTTCTCCATAGTGGATGTACCAATTTACATATCCACCATCAGTGAAGGAAGATTCCCCTTTCTCCATTGGTGTGAGGTTGTATCTTATTGTAGTTTTGATGTGCATTTCTCTAATATAATTAGTCATGTTGAGCATCTTTTCATGTGCTTTTTGACCATTTATATATTTTTTTGAGAAATGTCTATTTAAATCTTTTGCTTGCTTTTTGATTGGGTTATTTGAACTGCATGACCTGTCTGTATATTTTGGAAATTAATCCCTTGTTGGTTACCTCATTTGTAAATGTTTTCTCCCATTCTGTTGGGTGGTCTTTTCATTTTGTTTATGGTTTCCTTTGCTGTGCAAAAGCTTTGAAGTTTTATTAGGTCCCATTTGTTTATTTTTATTTTCATTACTCTATGAGGTGGGTCCAAAAAGATATTGCTACAGTTTATATCAGTGTTCTGCCTGTGTCTTCCTCTAAGTGTTTTATAATATCTGAGCTTACCCAGTGGCTCAGTGGTAAAGAATCACCTGTAATGCAGGAGACCTGGGTTCGATCCCTGGGTCGGGAAGATCCCCTGGAGAAGGAAATGGCAACCCACTCCAGTATTCTTGCCTGGAGAATCCCATGGACAGAGGAGNGTTTTATAATATCTGAGCTTACCCAGTGGCTCAGTGGTAAAGAATCACCTGTAATGCAGGAGACCTGGGTTCGATCCCTGGGTCGGGAAGATCCCCTGGAGAAGGAAATGGCAACCCACTCCAGTATTCTTGCCTGGAGAATCCCATGGACAGAGGAGCTTGGTAGGCTACAGTCCACGGGGTCTCAAAGAGTTAGGTACGACTGAGTGACTTCACTTTCACTCTTGCCTGGAGAATCCTTTGGACAGAGGAGCCTGGTAGGTTACGGTCCATGGGGTCGCAAAGAATGGGACATGACTGAACACACATGCATGGGCTTACATTTAGGCCCTTTAATCCATTTGGGGTTTATTTTTGTGTATTGTGTTAGAGAATGTTCTAATTTCATTCTTTTGCATGTAGCTGTCCAGTTTTCCCAGCACCACTTGAAGAGACTGTCTTTTCAACATTGTATATTCTTGCCTTCTTTGTCATAGATTAATTGATCATAGGTGCGTGGGTTTATTTCTGGGCTTTCTGTTCTGTCCCATTGATCTATATTTCTGTTTTTGTGCCAGTATCATACTGTCTTGATTACTATAGCTTTGTAGTATAGTCTAAAGTCAGGGAACCTGATTCCTCCAGCTTCATTCTTTCTCAAGATTGCTTTGGCTGTTCAAGGTCTTTTGTGTCTCCATACAAATAGTGAAATTGTTTGTTCTAATTCTGTGAAATGCCAATGGTAATTTGATAGGGTTTGCACTGTATCTATAGATTGCCTTGGGTTGTTGTTCAGTCGCTCAGTCATGTCTAACTGTTTGTGACCCCATGGACTGCAGTACATCAGGCTCGTCTGTCCTTCACCATCACCTGGAGCTTGCTCAAACTCATGTCCATTGAGTTGGTGATGCCATCCAGCCATCTTGTCCTCTGTCATCACCTTCTTCTCCTGCCTTCAGTCTTTCCCAGCATGGGGGTGTTTTCTAATGAGTCAACTCTTCGCATCAGGTAGCCAGAGTATTGGAGCTTCAGCTTTAGCATCAGTCTTTCCAATGAATAGTCAGGATTGATTTCTTATAGGATTGACTGGTTTGATCTCCTTGCAGTCCAAGGGACTCTCAGGAGTCTTCTCCAACACCACAGTTCAAAAGCATCAATTCTTTAGCACTCAGCCTTCTTTATGGTCCCAACTCTCACATCCATACATGACCACTGGAAAAACCATAGCTTTCGCTTGACAGACCTTTGTTGGCAAAGTAATGTCTCTGCTTTTTAATATGCTAAGTTTGTCATGACTTTTCTTTCAAGGAGCAAGTGTCTTTTCTTGGCTGCAGTCACCATCTGCAATAGATGTTTTTCTGGAATTTTCTAGCTTTTCCTATGATCCAACGGATGCTGGCAATTTGATCTCTGGTTCCTCTGCCTTTTCTAAAACCAGCTTTAACAGCTGGAAGATCTCAGTTCACATACTGTTGAAGCCTAGCTTGTAGATTTTTGAGCATTCCTTTGCTGGTCATTTTCACAGTATAAAATCTTGCAATCCAAGAACATGGCAAATCTCTCTTATCTGTGTTGTCTTTGATTTCTTTCATCAGCACCTTACAGTTGTCTACATACAGGTAGATTTATTCCTAGGTATTTTATTCTTTTTGTTGCAACGGTGAATGGGATTGTTTCCTTAATTACTCTTTCTGATCTTTCATTGTTAGTGTATAGAAATGCAAGAGATTTCCGTGGAATGATTTTGTAACCTGCAGCTTTACCAATTTCATTGATGAGTTCTAGTTTCTGGTGGCATGTTTAGGGTTTTCTCTGTAGAGTATCATGACATCTGCAAACATGACAGATTTACTTCATCTCTTCCAATTTGGATTCCTTTCATCTCTTTTTCGTCTCTGATTGCCGTGGCTAGGACTTATGCTCACTCTCCCCATTTCTGGGAGTTTTTCTCCCTCCCAGGCCCTCCAGGCCCAAGGGCTGGTAGCCAACAGCCTGGCCCCATTAGCAGTCTAGGGAACTACACCATCCTTTGTGGCTAGGGACCAACCTAAGCCAGTCTTCCTTGAAGGCTTCTCCAATGACCTGAATTGGAGATGCCATCTGCTTTGTGCCTGGACCCTGAGAGCCACTGACAGATGCACAGATCGAATTGGACCTCAGGGCAGTCATGGATAGGTTTTGCTAGAGCGTTCCTTCTCTACCTCTGTGCTTGGTAGAGGGGAGAGGCAGGCTTTCAAATTAATTTAAGGATTTAAAAGAACTCTATTATGTGGAGAAGGACTCAAGAATAGTAAAATTTGCATTTATGTGCATTAAATTGTTTTGAAATTCCTGTGGCAGAATTGCTGCTTGTCCATCTGATGGAGCTGATAGAAAATTATGTGCATTCCCAAAAAGGAAGAACAATTTGAAACTTCTCTAGCTGCTTTTAAAAGTAAAGCTCAGTGAGAAAACTTCAGTTTGATAACAATCATGCTCTGCTACTTTCCTAGGCATAGCTCAGCCATCTCCCGAACTGCTGATTTTTCAGAAAGAATTAAAGAAAGCAGAAAATTCTATTGCGTTTGTGCAGAAGGAGTTTGAAATTCACAAGCAAGCTCTACAAAAACAGCTTGAAAGCGAAGTGAGTATTGCTCCTTGTGCAGCCAGGGGTTGGGCCAGTCTGCTGCATAGATACGTGAACTTGGCACACGCCACACCAGTGTAAATGGGGTTTACTTCAACATCAGAGCTCCCCCAAGGTGCTAAAGTGTGTGCTTTCTCATCTGAAAGAACTCTCCAGTGATCATGTGACTTTATATTCATAATTGTCACAAAATCCAGAGGCAAGCAAACTCACTTAGACATACAATTTTTCAAGTCCTGGTGGTGCCCACATTGGCGGTGTCTTGATCCTCACCCTGTGACTTGGAAATACTGCAGCCATCTTTCTTGTGTCTGCTCTGGAGTAGCTGCTCTAACTTGCATGTGACAAGAGGTGGAAACTTGTTTTATCGTTTGTCATCTTGTAGGGACCCTGTGCGTTAAGGGTGTAATGCTGCTCAGAATTGGCAAAAGGGCAAAAGAGAATAAGCCCAATGAGAGAATACCTCCCTTTGAAGTGAGCTGTGATTTCTTTTATGTTCATTTCTTTTCTTCTCTGATTCTCTGCAGATTGAGCACTCCACCCAGCTGAAGGCCCAGGTATTAGAATATGATGCTTCTATCAAGAGGTTAACTACACAGGTTTCAATTTTAAAATCACAACTAAAACAAACTCAGACAGGTTAGAGACATTTTTAACCTCTGTGTGTGTGTGTGTGTGTGTGTGTGTGTGTGTGTGTGTAAAACTTCTGACATTTGTGAAAATGTGATTGTTACTCATTGAATTCTTAGTAATTCTCATAGTAGAGGGAAGCTTCCCAGGTGGCTCAGTGGTTAAGAACCCTCCTGCCAACCCAGGAGATGTGGGAAATATATGTTTGATCCTTGGGTCGGGAAGATCCCCTGCAGAAGGGAATGGCAACCCACTCCAGTATTCTTGCCTGGAGAATCCCATGGACAGAGAAGCTTGGCGGCCTATAGTCCATGGGGCCACAGAGTTGGACACAGCTGAGCACCAGCACCTTGTAGGGAACAGTCATAGAGAAATGTGCCTTCTCAGAAGTCAAGCTTCCTGTCCATTTCAGGGATACCAGCCAGGTGGTCAGCTAATGTGACTTGTTTTCACAGGTGCCCCATGCTTGGGGGAACCTCATACCACAGATAGGTGTGATAGCGACACAGAAGCCCCCAAATTCATCCTGGACCTAGGCTTTCCTTTTTTACTTGCCGTCTGGTGGCTCAGACAGTGAAGAATCTGCCTGCAATGCAGGAGACCTGGGTTTGATCCCTGGGTTAGGAAGATCCCCTGGAGAAGGGAATGGCAACCCACTCCAGTGTTCCTGCCTGGGAAAACCCATGGACAGAGGAGCCTGGCAGGCTACAGTCCATGGAGTCGCAAAGAGTCGGACATAACTGAGTGACTAACACTCACACATCCCAATAATAAGACCAGTCGATTCTTGAGTGGTTTTATACATTCCCTGACAGAGGTTTATGTGAGTGGGAGAGGAAGCATGGCCTAGCTGAAAGACCACTGCTGCTGAAATCAGAAAATTGGTTTTGTACCCGTTTTGCAGTTAGTTGTTTGGCTTTGGGTACATTTCTTTCAACTTCCTTGGGCCTCGATCCCCCTCTTTGTAATGAGGGTAATACCTTCTATGCCATGGAAGATGAAGGGGATATGTGGTCATCTCCAATGCAGTGCCTGGGGCACATAAAACACTGGGGAAATGGCCACAGCTGTCATTTTATTACTGTGTCTTGTGGATGCATGACATCTGCCCCTCCTTCATAACAAGTGCTGAATTTGACACTTTCTTGAGCTGCTTTGAAGCCCAGCAGAAGTTCCTGAGACTTTGTGATTCTGAGCCTTCCTCAGTTCCTATTTGTACTTCTTCCTCCTCTGGCCCTTGGCCCCTTCTCCCCACTCTGCTTTTATTTCCGTCTCTTTACTCATCTCTACTCTTCCCTGCTGCTTGTTTTCTTGCCACAACTCTGCATTTGCCAAACTTCCCACTGCTGAAACTGTCCCGAGCTCAGATCATTAGAAATAGTTCATTGAGGATGGAAACTTCATGAGTACAGGCTTCCCAAGCATCTGTCCCTGGCATCATCAAGGTGGCCTTGCAGGAGAGGAGCGGTCACATGTGGTAGCTTTGCATTAGGCCAGCCCAGCGACTTGGTGCTTTGCTATTGGGTGATTTCAGCTATAGTCTCCTGTCCGTGACGTGGGAGCAGTGAGAGTTTTGGACCCACAGTGGTGCCCTGACCACACGCCCTTCTTCCCCTCTCTGAGACTCAGGCTGTATGCAGTAGATTTTGCTGCAGCCCTGGGAGTTCGGGGGTGGCATCCTGTAATGAGACACATTCATTATTTTGAAGTCAAGTGTGTGAATGTTCCTGTTGGTGAAATAAAGATTATAAATGGGTTTCTATCAGATCAGGTCAGATTTTTCAACCACATGAGTTCAAGTCTGGTTAGGCTTTGTCCCTGAATACATTGTGAATGCCTTTTCGGTTCTCAGAGCTTTATGGATTTTCAAGGTCGTGCATAATGGATTGTGAAATAATAGCATGCATTACAAAAGAAGGCATATGAAGCAATAGTTGGTACACATAAGCTCTCAAACGTTAATAATTACTGTTTTGACTGTGGTTTTACAGACTTTTTTTGTTGAAGTATAGTTGATTTACCCTATTGTGTTGATTTCTGCTGTGAAAGTGAAAGTGTTAGTCACTCAGTCATGTCCGACTCTTGTGCAACCCCAAGGACTGTAATTCACCAGGCTCCTCCATCCATGGGATTCTCCAGGCACGAGTACTGGAGTGGGTTGCAATTCTTTTCTCCAGGGGATCTTCTCCACCCAGGGATCGAACCCAGGCCTCCTGCATTGCAGGCAGATTCTTTACCCTCTGAGCCACCAGGTATAACTTTGGATTTCCAAACTTTTTTTTTTATTGAAGTATAGTTATTTACCCTATTGTGTTGATTCTGCTGTACAGCAAAGTGATTCACTTGCATACACATATATATAGATTGCTTTTGGTACTGTTTTCCATTACAGTTTATCATAAGATACTGAATCTAGTTCTCTGTGCTCTACAGTAGAACTTTGTTGTTTATCCCTTCCATACATAGTAGCTTACATCTGCTAACCCCAGCCTCCCACTCCATCCCTCCCCCAACTCTCTCCCCCTTGGCAACCATAAGTCTGTTCTCAATGTCTACGAGTCTGTTTCATAGATATGCTCATTTGTGTCATGTTAGATTCCACCTGTAAGTGATACCACATGGTATTTTTCTCTTTCAGACTTACTTCACCTAGTATGGTATTCTCTAGTTGCATCCATGTTGTTGCAAATGGCATTATTTTGACCTTTTTATGACTGGGTAATATTCCTCTGTGTGTGTGTGTGTGTGTGTGTGTGTGTGTGTGTGTGTGTGTGATTGTTCACACACCACGTCTTTATCTACTCATCTGTTGATGAAGGTTTAGGTTGTTTCCATGTCTCGGCTATTGTGAATAGTGCTGCTGGCAACATACAGGTGCATATATTTTTTGGGATTAGAGTTTTGTCTGTATATATGCCCAGGAGTGGAATTGCTAGATCATATGGTAATTTATTTTTACTTTTCTGAGGACCCTCCCTACTCTTTCTCATTTTCAGTTGAGTTGTTTGGTTTTTTGCCATTGAGTGTATGTATTTTGGAAATTAAGCCCTTGTTGGTAGCATTGTTAGTAAATATTTTGTCCCATTGTGTAGGTTATTTTTTTGTTTTGTTTATGGTTTCTTTTGCTGTGCAAAGGCTTGTATGTTTGATTAGGTCTAATTTGTTTATTTTTGTTTTTATTTCTATTGCCTTGGGAGACTGACCTAAGAAAACATTGGTGTGATTTATGTCAGAGAATATTTTTCTGTGATCTCTTCTAGGAGTTTTATAGTATCATGTCTTATGTTTAAGTCTTTAAGCTGTTCCGAGTTTATTTTTGTGTATGGTGAGAGGGTGTGTTCTGACTTTGTTGATTTACATGTAGCTCTTCAGCCTTCCCAGCACCACTTGTTGAACAGATTGTGTTTTTCCCATTGTATATTATTGCCTCCTTTGTTAAAGATTAATTGACTGTAGATGTGTGGGTTTATTTATGGTCTCTCTATTCTATTCCATTAATGCATATGTCTGTTTTTGTGTCAGTATGATGATGTTTTGATTACAGTAGCTTTGTAGTATTGTCTGAAGTCTGGAAGGGTTATGCCTTATGGCTTCTTTTTTTCCCCCTCAGGATTACTTTGGCAATTCTGGGTCTTTTATGGTTCCATATAAATTTTAGGATTGATTATTCTGGTTCTGTGAAGAAATATAATGGGTAATTTGATAGAGATCACATTAAATCTATGGATTTCTCTGCATAGTATTGCCATTTTAACAGTATTGTTCCAGTCCAAGAGCATGGGATTTCTTTCCATTTCTTTGAATCCTCTTTAATTTCCTTTATTAATATTTGATGGGCTTCCGTAGTAACTCAGCTGGTAAAGATTTCACCTGCAATGCAGAAGATGCCAGTTCAATTCCTGGATCTGGAAGATCCACTGGAGAAGGGATAGGCTACCCACTCCTGTATTCATGGGCTTCTCTGGTGGCTCAGCTGGTAAAGAATCCTATTTTATAGTTCTCAATGTATAAATCTTTCACCTCAGTCAAGTTTATTTTTTTTTTTTTTTGTGGGGGAAGTAATTTTAAAAGGTACTGTTTTTTTTTTTTACATTCCCTTTTTAATATTTCATTGTTAATGTAAAGAAATGCAGCTAGTTTCTGAAGGTTAATCTTGTATCTTGCTACTTTGCTGAATTCATTTATTAGAAATAGTAGCTTTTGTGTAGAGTCCTTAGGATTTTCTATATATGTAGTTTCATGTCATCTACATATAGTGGCAATTTTACCTCTTCCTTTCCAATTTGGATACCTGAAAGCTAGGGCTTTCAGTACTGTATTGAATAGAAGAGGTTATAGTGGGCATCCTTGTCTTGTTTTAAATTTTACTAGAAAGGCTTTTGGCTTTCCACCATTGAGTATTACGTTGGCTGTGGGTTTTTCATAAATGGTTATTATTGTGTTCAGACATGTTTCCTCTATACCCACCTTAGTAAGAGTTTTGTCTTGACTGGATGTTGAGTTTTCTCAAATGGTTTTTCTGCATCTATTGAGATGATCATGTGGTTTTTGTCTTTTGTTTATGTGGTGTTTCACATTGATTTGTGTACATTGAACCATTCTTGTGAGCTTGGGATGAATCTTATGTGGTTGTAGTATATGATCTCTTGTGTGTATTGTTGGATTCAGTTTGCTAATAGTTTGCTGAGGAATTTTTCATGTATATTCATCAAAGATACTGATCTGTGATTTTCTTTTTTGGTGGTGTCTTTGGTTTTGGTATCAGGGTGACAGTGGTTTCATAGAAGATCTTTGTGAGTGTTCCTACCTCCTTAATTTTTTGTAAGAGTTTGAGAAGGATCTGTATAAGTTCTTTGTATGTTTGGAAGAATTCACCTATGAAGACATCTGGTCCTGTACTTTGTATGGAGTTTTTTGTTTGTTTAATTACAGGTTCTCTCACTTCTAGTGATCAGTCTGTTCAAAATATTTCTTCTTGATTCAGTTTTGGTGAGCTCTGTATTTCTACAGAGTTGTCCATTTCTTCTAAGTTGTCGAATTTATTGGCATATAATTGTTCTTAGTATTCCCTCAGGGTTTTTTTTTTTTTGTGTGTGTGTGTATTTCTGTGGTATTGGCTGTGGTATCTCATTTTAATTTCTTATTTTGTTTATTTGAGTTCTGTCTCTTTTCTTGGTGAGCCTGGCCAGAGGTTTATCAAGTTTGTTTACTCTTTCAAAGACCCAGCTCTTGGTTTTATTGACTTTTTCCATTTTTTAATTGCTACTTTATTTTCTATCTTTATTCCTTCTTTCTTCTGACTTTAGGTTTTGTTTGTTCTTCTTTTTCTGATTCTTTTAGGTGGTTTATTATGTTGTTTATTTGAGATTTTTCTTGTTTTTTTGAAGAAGACCTGTACTACTGTGAACTTCTAAGAACTGCTTTTGCTATGTCCCTTAGATTTTGTATGGTTCCATTTTCATTGTCATTTGTCTTAAGGTATTTTTAAATTTCCACTTTGGTTTCCTTGTTGATCCATTGATTTTCCAGTAGCATATTGTTTAGTCTGCATGTAGTCATTTTTTCCCCATTTCTTTTTCTGTGGTTAATTTCTAGTTTCATGCCTTTGTAGTCAGAAGAAGATGTGTGAGATAATTTCTGTACCCTTACATCTGTTGAGGCTTGTTTTGTGCTCTAGTATGTGGTCAGTTGTAGAGACTGTTCCATGTGCAGTTGAAAGGAATGTGTATTGGTTTTTTGTTCTTGGATATAATGTCATGAAAATTTCAATTAGGTCTAACTGCTCTATTGTACCATTTAGGATCTCTGTTGTTTAATTATTATTTTGCATAGAAGATCTGTACATTGATGGGAGTGGGGTGTTAAAGTCTCCTACCATTATCATATTCTTGTGAATTTATCTCTTTATATTGTTTGTATTTGTTTTATGTGTTTGGGTGCTTCTATGTTAGGTGCATATATTTTAGGTTAACACATGTAAAATCTTCTTCTTGTATTGATCCTTTTATCATTATAAAGTGTCCTTCATTATCTTTATGACCTTTGTGTTAAAGTCTGTTTTGTCTGATTAAAGTATTGTGACCCCTGCTTTCTTTTCATTTCTGTTTGATTGAACTATCTTTTTATATCTCTTTACTTTCAGTCTGTGTCCTTTGCCCTAAGCTCTTGTTTTTTTTTTTAATCCCGTCAATGTCAATCACTCTGTGTCTGTTGATTGGAGCATTCAGTCCATTTACATTTAAGGTGATTATTGTTAGATATACATTTATTGCCATTTTAAGGCTTGTTTTCTCATTGATTTTATACTTGTCCATTTCTTTTTGTTTCGTGGTTTGTTGATTTTCTTTTGTATTATATTTATGTTCTTTTTGGTTTTTGTGAATCTGTTGTATATTTTTTGATTTGTAGTTACCCTGTTTTTCAAGTATGTTAAAACTTCATCCTTTATCTACTTGCCTTAGACTGGTAACCATATAGGCTCATAACACATTCTAGGAAGGGGGGGTGGGATTTACGTTTTCTTACTCTCTTTCTCTTGCTGTCTTTAGAATCCTCTTTTTAACTTTTGCCATTTTTTATTAAAATATGCCTTGGTGTAGGTCTCTTTGAGTTTACCTTATGTGGAACCCTGTCTGCTTCCTGCACTGGATATCTGTTTACATCTTCAGGTTTGGGAAGTTTTCAGCCGTAATTTCTTCAAATACATTTTTTATCTTTTCTCTTTCTTCCCCTTCTGGAATCCCTATTATGTATAGATTGGCATGCTTTTTATTGTCCCATAGGTCTCTGGCTCAGTTGGTAAAGAATCTGCCTGCAATGCAGGAGACCCCAGTTCGATTCCTGGGTCGGGAAGATCCAGTGGAGAAGAGATAGGCTACCCACTCTAGCATTCTTGGGCTTCCCTTGTGGCTCAGCTGGTAAAGAATCTGCCCACAATGTGGGAGACTTGGGTTCGATCCCTGGGTTGGGAAGATCCCCTGGAGAAGGGAAAGGCTACCCTCTCCAGTATTTTGGCCTGGAGAATTCCATGGACTATATAGTCCATTGGGTTGCAAAGAGTTGGACACGATTGAGCAACTTTCACTTTCACTACTTTCAGGTCTCTTGTTTAGGTTTCTTTTTCTTTTTTTCATTTGGCTTTCTGTCTGTAAAAACCAATGGGTGATTTACATTATTCTATCTTCTGGGTCACTTATTCATTCTTCAGCATTATTTGTTTTGTTTTGTTTCGGCCATGCCACATGGCTTGCAGGATCTTAGTACCCTGGCCAGGGATTGAGCCCACACTCTCAGCAGTGAAAGTGTGGAGTCCTAACCATTGCACCACCAGGGAGTTGCCTGTTTTTCTACATTATTCTTTGCCTTTAGTTCAGTTTTTGTCTCAGCAAATGAGTTTTGTAATTTTCTTGCTTCCTCTTTATAGTTTCTATTCCCTTTTTACAATACTCTCCTTTTCTACTGATAATTTTTCCTTAATCCCTTTAGTATTTTCATTATCTTTTTTGAAATCAGTGTGTGTTAAACTGAAGAGGTCTCTTTCACTGTTTGTTCTTTCAGGGGAATTATCTTAGTCTTTTAACTGGGAGTGGTTCCTCTCCTTCATTTTACGTAATTTTCTCTCCCAAACTCACAGAAGAGAAATTATCTACTGTGGTCTTGGGGGACTATTTATATGTGGAAGCATCACTGTGTAGCTTCTGTGGGTTTAGTGTTTGTTTGGCATGAGGGCTGTTTTTGGTATGGATGCCTGTGACCTCTTTACTCAGCGTGTGCTAGCCATGGTCATTATCCCTTTATAATCAGGGTGTGCAGATGTAGTGGCTGGTGCCCAGTCCTGAGGTTCTCAGCATTGATGGAAGATCTCAGACACTCCCAGAACACGTGATGGGATCGTTGGTGGCTTGAGACCACACTTGGAGCCCAGAAGGGCGGCAGTGGTGGCCATTTGAGACTGCTTCTGTAGCCTGAGGTAGGGAGTAGGTCACAGCAGAGGCTCAGAACAGATCCTGAAGCCTGTGGCACTCAGGTGGCGGTTGCTGCCGCTCGTGACCCCTCTTGGAGCTCCTGTAGGCCGTGTCATGCCACCTGAGAGTGTGCACAGCGGAAAAGTCTGCAGTGGTGTGTCCCACCCCTCCCCTCACACACCCCAACCATCAGTAGCACCTGGCCCTCTCCTTGGGTCTGATTTCCGAAGTGTGAGCTTCAGCACCCAGCTTCTGCCTGCCTGGGTGGACACATGTCTCGGGCTGGGGAGTATAGGGCAGTGGTGCTGACCTTTTGTGCAGGTTTCTCCCTCCCAGCTGCTGCACACCAAAGGCTGCATTCTCCTCCGAGGCTCTGGAGCTCACCTCCATCTTGGCTGATCTCGTGGGGTGCAGGAACCTTGCCTCTTTTATAGCACCCTCCTGAGGATACAGATCCTGTCCCAACTTCTTCCTTGCCTTTTTTCCCCCCCTTTTGTCCTGCCTGGTTCTATGGAGATTTCCTTGCCCTTTCGGAGGTCTGAGGTTTTCTGCCAGTATTCAGTAGATATTCTGCAAGAATCATTCCACACATAGATGTATTGTTTGTTGATGTATTTGTGGGTGCAGGTGAGCTTCACTTCTTACTACTCCAGCATCTTGATCACACGCCACAAACTGTTTAATGTGCTAGTTGATTTTTCAACTAAAAATTGCTGAAACATTTCAGTTTGGTTCTCCACCTTTTCCCTTCATGTCTCACACTCTCTGTTTGTGACCTGCAGCACTAGAGAACGAAGTGTACCGCAACCCAAAGCACTGTCTGCTGAATCGCTCCATCAGCGGGTTAATGAGCACCAGGGTGGTGCCTCGTGATGGCGACATCAGTGGGGATTCCTTGAAAAATCCTCTGAGACAAGAGGAGGTGACAGCAGGCCCAGTTGCACCGCGGATCCCCAAATACCCAAATGCCAGCGCAGAGGGCAGTTCCCCTGATTCCGACCTCGAGTTTGTAGCCAGGACCAAGGTAAGGGTGAGAGAGCTGGAGCAGGAGGCAGAGCGCCTGGAAAAAGCTTTCCAGAGCTACCATCAAAGGGTCCGTCAGTACCCTGCCAAGAGCTGCTTGGCAGCCAGGAGCCCACCCCCACTGCATCTGCTGGGGACTCTTAAGAACATCACTGCAGCTGTTCCCGAGAGGTGTGTGTTTGTGGATGCCAGAGTCACCTCTCAGCAGCCTCCAGTGAGCACGCGCGGAGGGGACGAGAGCCAGGTATCCGAGGTGCCCAGCAGCATGGCCTCAAGGTCACACGAGAGCATAGCCTCCAGACGGCTCTCCTCCACGCCACTCCCCAAATCGAGAAGCCGTGATAGTGAAATGTACCTAGAAGGTGAGCTATGGATACAGGCCTGTGGGTGCTCTGGACGGGGGCCGGTTGCTCCTCATCCCCCCTCTCCTCTGGGTAACAGTGCAGCTGGAGGCTGATAAACCAGGAGTCATGGGAGCCTCTGAACTGTGGGCTCCTGGGGAACCATGACTCCCCTACCCCAGGTTACAGGTGGTGTGGAGGCCATAGGATGGAGGGTCAGGTGCCGGCGTTTTGCTTGGCACGTGGAGGTTTTCAGAGAGTGACTGTGGCTTTTCCTTGGCTGCTGGTTAGTTTCATGTATTCTCTTGTTATCACTGAAGTTTCATTTTCATGCCTGAATTGTTAGTTCTGTGGATTATTTTTACATACCACACTCCTTACAAAGATGATCAAAGACATTTTCAAAGTGGTAGAAATCTTTAGAAGCTGCACTGCCATCTTCTCCACACAATCTGTAACGTGCTTGTCCTGGTTCCTCCTGCCGCGTAGGTCTGGGCCAGTCCACTGTGACTGCCGCCTGTCCCGACAGAAAGCCACAGCCTTCGCCTGCCGAGTCCCGGCACAACCTCTCTGTGCACTCACTGTCCAGCCCTCTGGAGCAGAAGGCCAGGTAAGTACCTCATTCTCTGCCTGGCCTCTGCTGAGGTTGGTTAGCTTCCTGTGGTCTCAGCCAGGACTGGCTCCAGTTTTTTAGGTAATGTTAAAGACCATGTGGCAGGATAGAATTTGCAATCATATTATAAGATGCATGATCTCTGAGAATCATTTGAATTACTGCCTGGAGGAAAAAAAATTCTACTTGTTTGCTAAACTTGATGTATAGTATATATGTGAAGGTCTCTCAGTTGTGTCTGACTCTTTGTGACCCCATGGATTATACAGTCCATGGAATTATCCAGGCCAGAATACTGGAGAGGGTAGCCTTTCCCTTCTCCAGGGGATCTTCCCAACCCAGGAATCAAACCCAGATCTCCTGCATTGCAGGCAGATTCTTTACCAGCTGAGCCACAAGGGAAGCCCAAGAATGCTGGAGTGGGTAGCCTACCCCTTCTCCAGCGGATCTTCCCAACTCAGGAATCAAACTGGGGTTTCCTGCATTGCAGGCGGATTCTTTACCAACTGAGCTATCAGGGAAGCCCTACAGTGTATGTACTTGGGTATTAATAAGCATCTTCATAGTTCCATGAATAGACTTGGTTTATAAAGATAAAACAGACATAAAAAATTTGCAAATGCAAACCAATTCACTGTAAACGTTAAATAGTTTTGTACATCATTAAAAAGTCACTTACAAATATTTAGGGATTTAAATATAAGCAAATAAGATTCCACAGTGTCAATCATTGAAATAAATTCAAAAGTGGTAGTGAGTCCTAGGATACACGGGCTGAAGCAGAATGGGGTGGCTGTATCGAGAAGCTTGGGGGCGGGGGTGGGCAGCAGGTGGGATTCAAGTCCAGGGTGGGTCTCCTACCTGTGCCCAGTCCCCACGGTGGGAGATTCTGACTCCTCCTCTCTGGGCTTAGGCCTGGGCATCTGTATGTTGATGCTCATCTACTGTACAAAGTTGAAAACTAGCACAGGTGCTTGTCTGGTCCTAAAGTAGGTAATTTTTTTTTGTATCGGTCCTTCTGTGTTAAAGCCAAGAAGAGAGGCAGGACACATGTGGGCTGAGTTAGGCACTGTGATGCATGGCATCTTCAGCTGGCTCATGGTAATGATATAAAGAGCTTTTTGAAAAAATTTTCAAGTTCTTTAAATAAAAATTCCTCCTCGGAACTGCTTTGAGAGTGCCAGGATATTCTTTATTAACAATGGTAGTACCCAACTCATGGCATGAGGCAGTGTGGAAGAGTGACTGAGTTAATGCGTATTAATGGTTTGGAATGATGTCTGGTGCATGGAGAGCGCCCAGTGCAGAGTAGCTCCTATTCACTATGTGTCCACGAGAAATTAATTTTCTAAAGCATTTTCTCAAGTCACAAAAGGCTTTTCATCACCCTCTGCTCTTGTGTCTTACATTATTAAAACTTCACATTCTTGAATTTTATTCTTCCCATCCAGTCTTTATCAAAGACCTACAGAACTTCAAGACAAAAGTGAATTTTCAAATCCGGACAAGCTTGTTTTTAAGGATAATGAGGAATTTGAACCATCTTTTGAATGTAAGTTTAAATATTAATACTTGCTTTTATATGTAGAACTTGTTTCAAAATGTAAAACATTTTGGCAAAACATACCAATTGTTACAAAATGCAAAGCAGTTACAAAGTAATACATTTTTATTTTCTGATAAAATCAGTGATACAGGTATAGTACCATGTTTTTGTATCGGGAAGATTTTTAGGTTCTCAGTTCCATTGTTAAAAATTTCAGGATAACTAAATTGCAAACTTAGGGAAAGACTGAGGGCAGGAAGAGAAGCATGCAACAAAGGATGAGATGGTTGGATGACATCACCCACTTAACGGACATGAGTTGAACACACTCCAGGAGATAGTGAAGGACAGGGAAGCCTGGTGTGCTGCTGTCCATGGGGTCACAAATAGTCGGACATGACTTAGGGACTGAAAAACAACAATTGCAAATCAGAGCTAAGCATGTGAGTTCATTCACTCACTTGTGTCCGACTCTTGGTGACCCCGTGGACTGCAGCATGTCAGGCTTCCCTGTCCATCACCAACTTCTGGAGATTGCTCAAACTCTTGTCCATTGAGTCAGTAATGCCATCCAACCATCTCATCCTCTGTTTTCCCCTTCTCCTCCTGCTTTCAATCTGTCCCAGCATCAGGGTCTTTTCCAGTGAGTCAGTTCTTTGCATCAGGTGGCCAAAGTATTGGAGCTTCAGCTTCAGCATCAGTTCATCCAATGAATATTCAGGATTGATTTCCTTTAGGATCGACTGGTTTGATCTCCTTGCAGTCCAAGGGACTCTCAAAAGTCTTCTCCAATACCACAGTTCAAAAGCATCAATTCTTCAGCACTCAGCTTTCCTTATAGTCCAGCTCTCATATGCATATGTGACTACTGGAAAAACCATAGCTTTGACTAGATGGTCCTTTGTTAGCAAAGTAATGTCTCTGCTTCTTAATATGCTGTGTAGATTGTTCATAAATTTTCTTCCAAGGAGGAAGCGCCTTAATTTCATGGCTGCAGTCACCATCTGCAGTGATTTTGGGGCCCAAAAAATTAGTCTGTTACAGTTTCCATAGTTTCCCCATCTATTTGTCATCAAGTGATGGGACCAGAAACCATGATCTTAGTTTTTTAAATGTTGAGTTTAAACCAGCTTTTTCACTCTCCTCTTTCATTTTCATCAATAGGCTCTTTAGTTCCTCTTTGCTTTCTGCCATAAGGGTGGTGTCATCTGCATATCTAAGGTTATTGCTATTTCTCCCAGGAATCTTGATTCCAGCTTGTGTTTCATCAAACATGGCATTTCGCATGATATAGTGGCTCAGACAGTAAAAGTGTCTGCCTGCAATGTGGGAGACCTGGGTTCAATCCCTGGGTCAGAAAGATCCCCTGGAGAAGGAAATGGCAACCCACTCCAGTACTCTTGCCTGGAAAATTCCTTGGACTGAGGAGCCTGGTTGGCTACAGTCCACAGGGTCACAAAGAGTCGGACATGACTGAGCGACTTCACTTTCACTTACTCTGCATATAAGTTAAATAAGCAGGGTGATAATATACAGCTTTGATATATTCCTTTCCCAATTTGGAACCAGTCTATTGTTCCATGACCAGTTCTAACTCTTGCTTCTTAACCTGCATACAGATTTCACAGGAGGCAGGTAAGGTGGTCTGATATTCCCATCTCTTTCAGAATTTTCCACAGTTTGTTGTGATTCACACAGTCAAAGGCTTTGGCATAGTCAATAAAGCAAAAGTAGGTGTTTTTCTGGAATTCCCTTGCTTTTTCAATGATCCACTGGTTGTTGGCAGTTTGACCTCTGGTTCCTCTGCCTTTTCCAAATCCAGCATGAACATCTGGAAGCTCACAGTTCATGTACTGTTGAAGCTTGGCTTGGAGAATTTTAAGCATTACTTTGCTAGCATGTGAGACGAGTGCAACTGTGCAGTAGTTTGAGCATTCTCTGGTATTGCCTTTCTTTAGGATTGCAATGAAAACTGACCTTTTCCAATCTTGTGGCCACTGCTGAGTTTCCCAAATTTGCTTGCATATTGAGTGCAGCACTTTCACAGCATTATCTTTTAGGATTTGAAATAGCTCAACTGGAATACCATCATCTCCACTAGCTTTGTTCAAAGTGATGCTTCCTAAGGCCCACTTGACTTTGCATTCCAGGATGTCTGGCTCTAGGTGAGTGATCATACCATTGTGGTTATCTGGGTCATGAAGATCTTTTTTGTATAGTTCTTCTGTGTATTCTTGCCACCTTTTCTTAATATCTTCTGCTACTGTTAGGTCCATACTATTTCTGTCCTTTATTGTTCCCATCTTTGCATTAAATTTTCCCTTGGTGTCTCTGATTTTCTTGATGAGATCTCTAGTCTTTCCCATTCTATTGTTTTCCTCTATTTTTTTTGCATTCATAACCAAGGAAGGCTTTCTTCTCTCTCCTTGCTATTCTTTGGAACTCTGTATACAAATGGGTATATCTTTCCTTTTCTCCTTTGCCTTTAGTTTCTCTTTTCTCAGCTATTTGTAAGGCCTCCTCAGACAACCATTTTGCATTTCTTTTTCTTGGGGATAGCCTTGAGCACTGCCTCCTGTACAACATCACGAACCTCTGTCCATGGTTCTTCAGGCACTCTATCTATCAGATCTAATCCCTTGAATCTACTTGTCATTTCCACTGTATAACTCTAAGGGATTTGATTTAGATCATACCTGAATGGTCTAGTGGTTTTTCCTACTTTTTTCAATTTAAGTCTGAATTTGGCAATAAAGAGTTCGTGATGTGAGCCATAGTCAGCTCCTGGTCTTATTTTTTTCTGACGGTATAGAGCTTCTCCATCTTTAGCTGCAAAGAATATAATCAGTCTGATTTCAGTATTTACCATCTGGTGATGTCCATGTATAGAGTCTTCTTTTGTGTTGTTAGAAGAGGGTATTTGCTATGACCAGTGTGTTCTCTTGGCAAAACTCTGTTAGCCTTTGCCCGCTTCATTTTGTACTCCAAGGCCAAATTTGCCTGTTACTCCAGGTATCTCTTGACTTCCTAGTTTTGCATTCTAGTCCCCTATAATGAAGAGGACATCTTTTTTGGGTGTTAGTTCTAGAAAGTCTTGTATGTCTTCATAGAACTGTTCGACTTCAGCTTCTTCGGCATTAGTGGTTGGGACATAGACTTGGATTACTGTGATATTGGATGGTTTGCCTTGGAAACAAACAGAGATCATTCTGTCGTTTTTGAGATTGCACCCAAGTACTGCATTTTGGACTCTTGTCGACTATGAGGGGTACTCCATTTCTTCTAAGGGATTCTTGCCCACAGTAGTAAATATAATGGTCATCTGAGTTAAATTCGCCCATTCCAGCCCATTTTACTTCACTGATTCCTAAAATGTCGATGTTCACTCTTGCTATCTCCTGTTTGATCACTTCCAATTTACCTTGATTCATGGACCTAACATTCCAGGTTCCTATGCAATATTGTTCTTTATAACATCAGACTTTACTTCCGTCACCAGTCATGTCCACAATTGGGTGGTGTTTTTGCTTTGACCCTGTCACTTCATTCTTTCTAGAGTTATTTCTCCATTCTTCTCCAGTAGCATATTGGGCAGCTACCGACCTGGGGAGTTCATGTTTTAGTGTCATATCTTTTTGCCTTTTCATACTGTTCATGGGGTAAATGAAGCTTGTAAATGAATCCTTATTTTGTGAAGGTTAGGATTGCCTCAGATTTAAAGTAAGTGACTTCTTAAAATTTGCTTCCCCCCCCCCCTTTTATGGAATGTGAACATGTTAAGTGACTTTTCTTTGAATTATAATGATTCCATCAATTGCCTCAGATTTAGAAATACCTTCCTTAGTTACAGAAAGGAGATTAAAGAGTATTAGCTTAAGAGACTAGAAATTGTTGTCCTGGCTTTGGTCCTGCCTTAGATTGTTCAACCTTGGAGCCTACTGCTTCACTAAACAATAGGAATGTAGTGTCAACCAGCTCTGAGGTTCTTTCTGGGTTACAGAGTCTTTTTTTTTTTTTTGGCTGTAGAAGCTTTATTCATAATAGCCGGAAACTTGAAACAACCTAGGTATCCGTCAGTTGTTGTTGTTCAGTCACTAAGTCATGTGCAATTCTTTGTGACCCCATGAACAACCTGGCTGATCCAGGCTTTTTGCCGTACTCCCTTGGTTGTGACGTACCACACTCTAGCCCTCAGGCTGTCTCCCAGGTTCTGACCTCTGAAGGCTGAGCCTCAGCTCGCAGGGTGTGGAAACCTTTCATTTTTCACAGCTCCCTCACACGGGTGCAGGTCCACTCCCAATTCCTTTCTTTTTTTTTTCTTTCATTCTACCCAGTTACCTAGAGTTTTTCTTGCCCTTCTGTTAAGTCTGAGGTGTTTAGTTGATGTTTTCGTAGTAGTTAGAATCATTCCACATGCAGATGTGTTTTTGGGAGAAGGTGAGCTCCATGACCTACTCCTCCACCATCTTGATCCCATCCCCCAGAAAGTTTTTATATTTGTGCGTTAACCTATAGTTTTGCCTTGAGCACTCCATCCTCAAGTCTGAATGTCTAGTACTTTGAACAGGGAAATGAAAGGGCTTAGTATATTTTATGAAATCTTTGAACCAACTTCATTAACTTTGTTAAATCACTGCTATTGAAATAGACTTCAGATGCTTTTCTCCAAGCCAGATGAATTCTGCTGTCATTAGACTGATTTCCCTCCTGGGTAACAAATCAAATTTGTCAATGAATCTCCTAAGAATGCTTTAAGAAGCAGATATATTGGCGAGTGATTCTAGTGAGTTCCTGGAACCCTGTAAGTAAAGGGCTGGCCCAGTTGCTTTGTCTGAAACTTCAGTGCTCAGCAAGGAGTTATCCCCACCCTCTCTTCTCCTGCTGCTGCTGAGGGCTAGGGGAGATTCACTTGCACTTCTTATAGATGGACGGAGTGTGCCAAGGCAGTTCGAGAGAGATGGCCTCCATCATGCTGGCAACATGCCTCATGTGGGCGGCGCTACAGCCCCTGTGCCCACCAGGCCCATCTCGTTTCAGTACTCGGGTGAGTTTTCCTCTGTTTTAACTAACGAGGTATGTCAATAATAACATTTCATTTTGCTTTCTATCTGTTTGCTTCCTTCATACCTTAAAAAATTAGGATGGTTAACCTGTTATATTTTAGTCTTCAAAACAGTGATCAGGATGGGGAATACATGTAACTCCATGGCTGATTCATGTCAATGTATGACAAAACCCACTGAAATGTGGAGTAATTAGCCTCCAACTAATAAAAATAAATGAAAAAAAAAAAGAAGATTCATAGTAGCATAACAGCAAAATACTGCAAACCAGCCCTGATGTTCGTCAGCAGGAGAATGGATTAATAAATTGTTACCTATTCACCCACTGCAAAAAAAAAAAAACCAACAGTGATGACCCTGAAAGAAAAGTGGTCATTATATCCCTCCCTCCCGTCTGGCCCACTTTCTCTCCCCGTCTCTTCTGCAGACTCCCCCTTCCCTCGCCAGTATGTGGAAGCAGTTCAGCCCTTGGCCAGTGGACAGGTCCTTTTCTCTCCTTGGACCAAAGTGTTGAAGGCTTGTACACACCCTTCCTCAAGTAAAACCACCTACTAGTAAAACCGTCCTCCCCCAAAGCTGTGCAAAGCCTCTTGTAGGCAGTGTGAAGTCACCATACTCAGGAACAGGAAGAATTGCTGACAGAAGAAAGATTGTGAGAGGGTGATTTTGCTGAGTCCAGCGTAAATCACTGTGGAAAACATCCATTCAGGATGGCTTGCTCAAGAGCTTTTTCTATGCCAGGCACTTTCCCGGGGGCTGGGCATCCTGCAGTCAAGCAGCCCCTGCCTTGTGGAGCTTCTCAGGGTGGGCAGGTTGTGGAGGAGGGCATGGTCAGCAAGCCATCACCAAGGAGCCCCAGTCAGATGGGTAGTCAGTAGGGATGGTGGCAGCCATCTGGAGGAGATGGTAATAAAAATAACAGAGTAAGAGAAACCAACTGAGAAGATAGGTGTTCTGCCTCTGAGAGGTACTAGATAGTATAATAAGGTCTTCTAAAATGAGTATTCAAAAGTGTGGCTGCACCATTCAGGAGTGATCCTCCTCCCCCAGGAACGAGCAGAAGATTGCCTTTCTGCCCGTGGAAATGAGTACTGGCTGCCTCCGGTAGTCAGGTTCATGGCCAGGATCAAGGGCCAGACAAGCCTGTGTTGTCTCCCCTTGGTGGCATGGAACCAGGGCCCGGCATAGAGATTCAGAGTCCTCTGGTGAACTAGAGAAGTTGTCTGTTTCTTCACACTGTTGGGGGTGGAGGGTAGCATGGGTCAGAGATGAGGTTTTTCAGCCAGGACTGGAGCAGAAAGGTCACACAAGCATCAGCGAGGTTGGAAGGTGATTCAACCATGAGGTACAGGAACTTGAGCTGTGGGCTCTCAGGAGTCAGCAAATGAAGCCGGGCCACGCCAGAAGGAACAGAAAATAGATGCACGCCATTGTGGTGGGCAAGGCAGGCACTGGAGAGGTTCCCTGCCCCTGTGGGGGTACCGGGGTACATTAGGGTGGGGGCTCACCTGGTAGGAGGGGGGAGTCCCCAGGGAGAGATGGGGAGGGAGCACATCGAGTTGGGGAGACTGTGGGAGCAAAGGCGGGGGCAGAGAAGAGCAGCTGGAGTCAGGTGATAGTGAACGTGCCGGGGGGGGTGGTCTGTGGAGGTCGGATGTGCAAAAGTGATGGTGATGGTGGAGGAAGTCAGTCCGATAGGAAAAGACTGGTTGTTGGGGCCTTGGCTGCCATGGTCTGGACTTGACCGGAGAGAGACAGCGCTCAGTGCCTCCCTCCCTTCTCTTCGGGAGGTGACTGGTGCTAAGGAAGCATACGGACTTGAAGGCTGAGAGACTGGTGTCAGGGAGTGCAGAGACTGTGGTGTTGGTACTCTCGGTGAAGGGTGGTCAGGACCCTCACTGCAGCAGCAGGACGAGGAGAGGTGGGAGCCCGGAGCCCTGGAGGTTGGTGGACAGAGCGTAGAGTGAGCTTGGCAAAGGAAGCCAGCGTTGTGGGATTGCCACATGCAGATGGCAGGGAACTTCCCCGTAGAAGCATCAGTGTGAGGCCAGAGAGGGACAAGAGAAAACGTGGGGGATGATGGGGACAGAGGCAGCCCCAAACCCCAGGGAGGGATCCGCCTGGAGGGAATGGAGTGATGGCCAGGTGGCCTGAGCGGGGAGGGGAGGGTGGTTGGTGGTTTTGTCCTGCTCTGGGCTGGAGACTCTTGCACCCCCGTGGAAGTAGTGTGGGGGTAGTGACCAGAATGCTGTGGGAATAAATGGGGACAAATGATCGGGTCAGAATGCTAAGGATCCGGTAGGCTCAGAACCAGATGCAGAGGCAGAAATACAGGGTTCCCCTCGGCTAGGAAGGAGGGGCTAGGGACACAGTTGAGAGGTGGGCAGGGCGCACTGCCACGTCTGGGGCTGAGGGCTTGGAGGCCAGCAGAGGCGGCTGACAGTCACACCATCTCCTTGGGCCTCAGCAAGACCCCTGTGTACCCATCTCGTGTTTGTCTGAAAAATTTGCTGCCAGAAGCCATTCGTTCTTTATTTTCTGTCCCATTAGGTGTCAACCAGAAATCGCTTGGAGAACAGAAGGAAGAAGAAAAACTCCAAGAACAGCAGGCAAGGGGACGAAGGCAGGAAGAAGAGCAGAGGCAGAGCGAGTGGCGGGAAACTCTGCAGAGGGAGCGGCGAAAACTTGAGAAGCTGGATCAACAAAGGGTACTGATGCTGGTGGGAGAGGGAGTCCCCTGTGTCTCCAAGTCCTAGGAGGAGTGGGGAAGTGAACCAGCCTTAGGCAGCCTGAGGACAGCTGTGGAGCACACAGGCCTTCTGGTTCAGGGTAGAGGGCCAGCCCAGTCCCGTGCATCCTCATCTGGTCCTGAAAACAGGCTCATGAATGAGGAGGACCTTGTTTTGCAGTTGATTTTCTCATTGTAAATGAGGTTAAAAAAAGAGCCTCTTGCTTCAGGGCTCCCCTGTCCTCTTTTCTTTGATGTGCTCCTGGCCCTTAGGCTGGTCCCAGATTATTCAGGCCACTTCACTTGTGCCCCTTTGATGGTAGCAGTGACTTCAATTAAAAAACAGTTCTCTGGCATGCAGGTTGTAGGTAAAGGATCAGGATTACAATACTGTGTTTTTCAACCCTTAGAAGTTCTAAAAGAGGTATAGTTCCTATTCTGGTACCCATCTGTTTCAGAGGCTAATTGAAAAATCATTGAAGTTGGATATTGAAAGAGAATATGAATCAGGTGTTCAGGAAATGAAAGACAAATCTAAATCTGCTTGTGGTGAAAATCCTCTAGAGAAATACATGAAAATCCTGCAACAGAATCCAGACCAGGACACCACGGACAAGGTGCTGATGCTGTGGACGGGTGTCTGTGGGTGGGGAGTGCTGAGGGCTTCTGTGGTTTACTTGAAACTGAAGTGGCTCAGTCGTGTCCGACTCTTTGCAACCCCATGGACAGTAGCCTAGAACGCTTCTTCGTCCATGGGATTTTCCAGGCAAGAGTACTGGAGTGGGTTGCCATTTCCTTCTCCAGGGGATCTTCCAGAACCCAGGGATCGAACGTGGATGTACCGCATTGTAGGCAGACAGACACTTTACCGTCAGAGCTACCAGGGAAGTCCTGGTTTACTTGAAAACCTTGTGATAAAGATCTGCCGTCTCCATTGGAGACAAAGGGAAAAGCATAGAGAATCTGAAGGTCACATAGAGTTCCAGCCTTTTCAATATCTGACACTCCTGACAAATCATGGCTTTTGTTTAAGTAAAAGATTTCAGAAGTTTTGATTTGTCAAAGTTTGTAAAAGTTGGGATATCTTATTATTTTCAGAATAAGAAATAAATAAAATGAAAGCTCTATGATTGAATAATGAATGAGTTAGTCCTGAGACAGTAATATTTTATCTAAGTCTAATGTACTCTGTTGAGAATACCTTCCAGGTAGCTTATTCTGATGTGCTTGCTGAATGTCATGTTTAAAAGTCACTGCTTTTATAGACTCAACTACTTATATATTTCAAAAACAGTTCTTAGAGAAATCATAAAGTTTTGAATATACATCTAATTGCAAAATTCCTTCCCCCCCCCCGCCCCCGCGTTGTGTCAGAGTTCCAAAAAGGTGTTCAGAGAGAGCTCACAATTGGACACGCTGCCATCTAGTGACAAAGATGAAAGGTATGGTGTCCCCAACATTGTGTTCTTATGCAAACCATTTATCATAGTGCTGGTTCATTCTCAGCCAAGGGAACGTTCAGATATTTGAGTCTGCCTGTAACTGAATCAGTCAAAATGACTGACTTCAAAAGAAAATCTATTGCATTTTATTAACCTGTCAAATTACTGATAAAAATCATGAGCAAGGGCAGAAACCCCACAGGAAAGGAATGAGAACATGTTAGATCACAGAATAAACTTGACAAGAATATAACAGATTAAAAAAATTTTTGTCTTTCCCTAATTTAGTTTTTCAGCCTTTTCCCATGAGGAACCAGATGACATTTGGTAGCCGTGTTTGCTGCCCAGCTTCTTACTCCGATATCATAATTAACGGCCTGTGAGTTCTCTGTAGTGAGACAAACTGCTCAATAAAAATCATGTGAAATCCAGTGTGATTTTTTTTCTTAGTTCTATTTGCTACTATAGTATATAAATGAAAAATAATCTAGTCAAGTGACACCTCTTCAGGGTTTCTCATTCTTAGGCCATTCATTACACTGAAATGAGCTGCTATTTTTTCCCTCCATTTTTGTCTTAGGTTATATCTTCTTGAGAACTTATCTTATTGGTCAAGTTCTAGGCCTTCCTTTTCGAACTTTCAGTTGTGTCCCTTCCTCTTAAGTGTTGGGCTCCCACCTGTCAAACAGGAGGCCATCTTCCCTGATATTCTCCTTATGGTTTGTCCCTGAAAATACAAACACATGTTTTTCTATTCTAGAGTTTCAGTGCTAACCAGTGGTCACCCAGAGCATAACACAGGCAGGGTCTGTCTACTCTGTCTTTCCAGTGAAACCCTAGAGGATTCCTTCCTCTTTACATATTCAGATTGGACTAGTTGTCTTTGCTGGTGATGCTTGTTTGGCCATTAAGTTCCATACTAAAAATGGGAAGGAGATTTGGGGGTGTTTATTATTCCTTAGGCTTCTAATGATCAAACTACTGCACAGTTGCACTCATTTCACATGCTAGCAAGGTCATGCTCAAAATCCTCCAAGCTAGTCTTCAACAGTATGTGAACTGAGAACTTCCAGATGTGCAAGCTGGATTTAGAAAAGGCAGAAAAACCAGAGATCAACTTGCCCCGGCATCTGTTAGATCATAGAAAAAGCAAGAGAGTTCCAGAAAAACATCTGCTTCATCTGCTTCTACTTCAGCCTCTGACTGTGTAGATCCCAACAAACTGTGGAAAATTCTTAAAGAGATGGGAATACCAGAATACCTGACCTGCCTCCTGAGAACTCTGTATGCAGGTCAAGAAGCAACAGTTAGAACTGGACATGGAACAACAGACTGGTTCAGAATCGAGGAAAGGAGTACATCAAAGCTGTATATTGTCACCCTGCTTATTTAACTTATATGCAGAGTACATCATGTGAAATGCCAGGGTCGATGAATCACCACATGGAATCAGGATTGCGAGGAGAAATATCAATAACCTCTGATATGCAGGTGACACCACTCTTATGGCTTAGAAAGCAAAGAGGAACTAAAGAGACTCTTATTGAAGGTGGAAGAGGAGAGTGAAAAGCTGGCGGAAAACTCAGCATTCAGAAAACTAAGATCATGGCATCCGGTCCCATCACTTCATGGCAAATAGATGGGGAAATAATGGAAACAGTGACAGACTTTATTTTCTTTGGCTCCAAAATCACTGTAGATGGTGACTGCATCCATGAAATTAAAAGACACTTGCTCCTTGGAAGAAAAACTATGACCAACCTAGACAGCATATTAAGAAGCAGAGAGATTACTTTGCTGACAAAGGTCCATCTAGTCAAAACTATGGCTTTTCCAATAGTCATGTATGGGTGTGAGTTGGAGTTGTTGGATTGAGTTATTGGAGTTCTTTATATATTTTGAATATTATCCCCTTATCAGAAATGTGGTTTGTAAATATTTCTTCCATTATATAGATTGCCATCTCATTTTGTTTATTATTTTCTTTACTGTGCAAAAGGTTTTTGATTTCTCACTTGTTTGTTTTTTTTTTTTGGTGTGACATCAGAGTCCTCATCAAAATCAGTGTTTACCCTGTATGTTTTCTTCTAGGAATTTTATGGTTTCAGGTCTTATGTCTTCAAGTCTTTAATCCATTTTGAGTTGATTTTTGTGTGTGGTGTGAAATAGGGGTCAGGTTTCATTCTTTGGCATGTGCCTATACAATTTTCCCAACATCACTTCTTGATGAGACTGTTCTTTCCCTCTTACATAGTCTTGGCTCCTTTGTTGGCAATCAGTTGACCATATATACATAGGTTTATTTCTGGGCTCCATATTCTGTTCTGTTGATCTATGTGTGTGTTTTTATGCCAGTACCATACTGTTTTGATTACTGTACTTCATGATATAGGTGCTTTTATATTGGTTGCATAAATATTTACAAATGTTAAATGTTTTGCTGAACTGACCTCTATATTATGACCTCCTTTGTATTGTTACAGTCTCTGGCTTAAAGTCTACTTTGTATGATAAAAGTAGAGCACCTCTGCTTTCTTTTGGCTTCTATTTGCATAGAATTTTTCCCTCTGCTTTTAAGATTTTTTTTCAATATTACATGTTTTTGTCTCATTTATGGATGTTCTTTTGTTGTGGTGGCAGTGCAGGGTTGGGGGGGAGGAAACTTTCTTCATGCATGCACAAAGTGTGATGCTGACCGAGGATGATGATGAAAATTGCTCAACCTCCTTGGGCTGGCTGAGGCTGACCTATGGTGAAACTTGGAAGTGAACTCCAGTCCCCGGAATCAGCCAAGCATGGGTCAGGAGGCGTGTTGGGGAGAGAGGAATCTGTCTCCTACCCGTAGTCATACCCCATCCAGGGACATTCAGAAATAATCTTGCCGGCTCCTCAGTCAACCCCAAGTGGAGAAATGTGCACCAGGAAGATCGGGACCAGCAACAAGTATCTGCCCGGCCATCCAGATGAATCCTGCTCATGAGTTGCCAGCTGTCTTCTCCCCTCATTTTCAATCTGGTTTGTCCTTAAAGCTAAAGTTGAGTCTCTTGTGGGCAGCATTATTTATGGGTCTTTTGTTGTTGTTGTTGTTTTTATCCATTTGTCCACTTTTTTTTTAATTGAAGTAAAGTTAGTGTACAATGTTACATTAGTTTCAAGTGTACAGAAAAGTGATTCAGTTCATTCTGTTTTTCAGAGTCCACTTAAAGTAATTTTTGATAGGTATGTAACTTTCGACATTTAATTTTTTTATTGTTTTGTATTCCTTTGTTTTTTTCTTCTTCTTTTGTGATTTGATGGTTTTCTGTTATGTTATGCATAGATTTATTTTTTGTGTATCTTCTATAGCTTTTCACTTTGCTGTTACCCTGGGGATTACGTAAAACATATTTATAACAGTTTAACCTGATAACAATTTTGAACATATACAAAGGCTGTACATTTATAGACTTCCCATTTTGTATTTGATGTCACAATTTATATCTTTTTACATCATGTATCCACTGACAAATTATAGTTATTTTCAATCCTTTTGTCTTTTAATTTTTATGCTAGAGTTTCAAGGGATTTACCTACCACCATGACAACATTAGAGTATTTTGACTTTATATTTGCCAGTGAGTTTTGTACTTTGATAGGTTTTCTGTCACTAATTAGCATCTTTTCATTGTAGCTTGAAGAACTTCTTTTAACATTTCTTGTAAGACTGCTCTGGTGGTGGTGAACTCTCTCTAGCTTTTGCTTGTTGGGAAATCTCTCTCAACTTTAGTTGTGAGGCACAGCTTAATTGGGTATAGTATTGCTTGGAAGTTTTTCTCTTTGAACAGTTTGAATACATCATTTCAGTATCCTCTGGCTTGCACAGTTTCTGCTGATAGTCTCCCAGGTATTCCCTTATATGTAACAAGTTGTTTTTCTCTTGGTGTTTTTCAGATTGTTTCCTAGTCTGTAGCTTTTGAAGATTCAAAATTAATGTATCTCGGGGACTTCTCTGGAAGTCCAGAGGTTAAGACTTCATGCTTCCACTGCAGGTTCAGTCCATGGTCAGCCAAACAAACAAACAAAATATTGTGTTTCAGTGTTTATCTCTTTGGATTCTTTTTTTTTTTTTGGAACTCTGTGGACTTTGTGGATCTGAATATTTCCCCATATTAGGGAAGTTTTCAGCCATTATTTGTTTCAATAAATTTTCTGCCCCTTTCTTGTTTCCTTCATTGACCTCTATAATGTGTATAGTTGGTTTACCTGATGGTGTCCTGTAAGTCCCTTAAATTATCTTAATTTTTTCATTTTTTTTCTATTTGCTCCTCTAACTGGATAAATTCCAGTGACTGTCTTCAAATTTGCTTACCCATTTGTTTAGTCTGCTATTGAACCCGTCTGATGACTTTTTCAGTTATTCTTCAACTATGTGATTTGTTTGGTGCTTTTAGATAAATTATTTGAAATTCTCACTTTGTTCATGCATTGTTATCCTAATCTCGGTGAGCATCTGCATGACTGTTACTTTGAACTCTCAGGTGAGTCACTTATTTCCCTTTTATTAAAGTCTATTTCTGGAGTTTTATTCGTTTGGAATATAGTGTATTTCTTCTTCATTTTCCTTGTCTGTGTTGGTTTCTGTACTTTAGGTAAAACAGCCACCTCTCCCAGTCTCAACAGAATGGTCTCTGTGGGAGATGAACTTTGTCATTCAGCCCAGCCCAAGCTTTTGGTTGCTTCTCAAACCTTCATGATAGTCCAAGCTACCTTCTTTGTTCTTGGTGTTTCTTAGTGTTGAGGGTGTTGTCAGGACTGGTCAGTGTTGCAGTGGGGAAGATCACAGTCAGCACATAGATGCAGGGTGATTGGGAAACTGACCCCTCAGATTGCAGGTGGGAAAATGAGCAGTTAGGTCTGATCCTGGGAGCTAGTGGTTTTTCCTGCTCCCTCTGCACTTGGCCTGGGTGCATAGCTGCAGGGGTACTTGTACTCCAGTGCCTGGTAAGAACTGCTGCTACGTCCTGTAGGCCTTGTGAATGCCAGTCCTGGTGGCTCTCAGAGCCAGATAATCTTCAGATCTGTCCCCTGGGTGGCAGGTGCTGATGCTGGAACACAGATCAGTGTACCAGCTCCTCCCTGAAGACATGGATGATTGGAGGAGGCAGAGCATGGATGCAGTGGCTTTCTTGGTCCCTGGGGAGGATGGCAGTTCCCTGTGTGCTAAATTAGAAGCCTGACTCTAGGCAGCCTTTTAATATATGTAAATAGACCCTTTTCAGGGAAAGACCTGGAGTTGGTGAGTCCTCTCAAGCTGGGTAAGAACTGGTTGTGAGCATCTTGTGGGTTTCTTGGACACCACAAAACACCTTAAAACAAGGTGTTTGGGGCATGGTCTGTTCCAAAGGTGAAAATCATAAAAAGGGGAGGTGCTAGATGTGGGGTCCAAACCCTT